TAGACAGGTGGCCTGAAGTCTGAGGGGAACAGGCTGCCACAGACAGCTGCTGCCGGCTGGCAATGCTACAGTCATCCCCTCTGGCCTGGTGGAACTTAGGCACTTTGGATGTGTTTTAATTTAGGAGCAAGGGTAAGAATTCTCCCAGGGATGCAGGCGTTTTATCCTTTCATCAGTTGGTGGACATTTAGGTGGGATGCAGGCACTGTGCCTGGAAAGCTTGGACACCGGCAACGGCCCTGTGAAGACTATCTCTGTGATCTTGGACTCCACACGCACTTCCTTCCCCTTAGCCATTTTCCTCCCTTTGGGCCTGTGCACAAGAGAAATGCAGGAAAATGGCATAAATTGTAATTCCCCTAATCAAAGAAGCCCACTCAAGTATCCCTGGGAAACAGCTCTGCAAAGCTGTGAGTTGCTTGACAAGTTAGCCCGAGTGAAGTCACTTTGCTGTGTGGGGTTTTCAGCAGTGGAGAGGTCGATTCTTTTTGTAGATAACTCCCAATAGCCTAGGTTCCACTCACAATCTTTCCGGTCCCTTGAAGATCTTCCAAATGAATCTCTCTATGCTCAATTACACTGGTTGATTTCCTTCCACAGCTGAGACCTTGCTGGGCATGAGGCATTCATAAAACTTCACTTGATTCATCCCAAATATAGCCCACATACCAGTCTCCTAGATCAAGCAGTTAGGCAGCAGCACTGTTTACTTCTTCGTCATCAGTGAGGTCACCCAAACAGTAACCATGGCTGGCAAGAGCAGAAGGTTAAGCAAAGAGGCTGAGTCTAAAGATTCCAGTGTGGGAGCTTCCCCTCAGCTCCAATCCCCACCACCTCTCATCTTCCAAATAATTGCCATTCTAGGTGCCATGGCCTGGGAGTGGCAAGAGGATAAGGGGAGGATCTAGACCAGATAGCCTGGAAGGTCCAACTCCACCTCAGGACTAACCAAGGGCCATAAAATCATGGTGCTACTTTCCAACACTGAACATTTCCCATGGCATTTCAGGGAGGAAACCCTCTCCTGGACCCTTGAGCAAAATGTGCTAAGGCAGCCAATGCAAGGCTGCAGAGGGAGGGTGTATCCTGGATCTGAGCCTACCCACTCACATCACCACGGCAGGCAACTTTTTCTGTGATACCAGAAATACACCTGTACTTCCTTGTACTTCCCATAACACCTGTAATTACAAAAACAAAAGGTACAGATGTACTTGTAATTACCTGAAGAAAGAAGTCTGAAACAATTAGGACAGCGGGAAAAGACGTCCTTCTGCCACCTTGAAAGAGGCCAGCAAGGTATGGGCATCTCGACCCTGCTGGCAACTCTGAATGCAGCCAAGTGGAACACACAGTAGGAGAAGCCACCTTCCTCATGGGTCCAAGGACTTGGAGGGCACATGCTCTTAGCTGCCAAGAAGCAGCAGTCTGAATTAGGGGAGGAGCACACCTGGTGTGCCAGCAGGCTATGAATGGGGGACGGAGCAGTTGCAACGGAGCACTGAGTGGCCAGGGAAGCCCTCTTTAACTTGCTGTCCATTCCTGGATGCTCCCTGGCTGGCAGTGTCCTCCCACTCCTCCCCACGGATCCTCACCCTCCCCACTCTTCCAGGCCCAGCTCCAGGTGCAGTTTCTCCCACATCTAACACTGGTTTTGTGGTGGTCTCTGCTTCAAGCCTGTGTCACTTCTAGCTGTGGGCTCCTGGTGGGCAGGGACCAGCGCAGGGCTGGATACTCCGTATAGTGTGAGACGGGCAGGAGAAAGATTGAGGGGAAAGACCCACAGAGCCAAAAACCTTTCATTCTAAAGCTTTCTACATAAAGCTCACGCCAGACCCCAAAGTAAAGCCCCTCCCCACCCTTCCATCTCTATAAACAGACCGTTTCGCACTGTGACAGCAAACCCAGTAGGAATGCAGATGGCACACACTGTCACTCTGATTTCACACAATGAGGGTGTGAGGAAGCTCAGCCGATGAATCAGAGCTGGCACAGATGTGCACAGACCTCTGCCTGGGCAGAGTCTGTAGCCTCTCCTTGATGTCCAAGGAGACTCCCCAGAGGGACACCTTCTATAAATTATTTGTCTTGTTATTAAACAATCTACTGTTAGAAAGTTCTTGGTGAAACAGGTGACTCCCCAAGATTCCACCAGCCTCAGACTACCTCACTGTCATGGGCTTCTCTTGTTTTTTCCATGCTTCCCACTTTACAAGCCCCATTAAACCAGTGAGAATTATATACAAAGGTTAACACCTTGGGGTTCTCCGTTTGCCTTCAGGCCTCTTCATTGAAAGCACCGGTGTGGCTCTTTCTTGCACCAGTTTGAAACAGGATATATTAGTTCTAACTACAGACTTTGGTGCTGGGGACCAAACCCAGGGCTTTGCACATGCTGAGCACATGCTCTACCACCGAGCTAAACCCTCAGCCTCTTTAACTTTTAAACTCGCCCTTTCTAGTTGTAGAGTCCTAGGAATTTCAGTATGCTCTTTTTGAGATGGGTACACACATTGGGATTTCACAAAAACAAAGCTAGAAATTTCTGGTAAAGTTGTCTTCTACCCAGATACCTATGTCCAAAGGGAGGTAGATTCTTGCTCATATCTTGAGTGATATAACAAGTACTTTATTAAATTCTGAAGTACTGTCACTGTGCTGAGGACTTTGATACATTATCTCATTCCTCACAACCAATGAGGTGAAGATACTTAAAGATAAGGAAACCTAGGCTCAGAGATTAACCTGCCCAAAGTCACCCAGGCAAGACGTGTGGGAACCAATACCTGAACCCCAGGCTGACTCCAAAGCACAGCGTTCAGCTACCATGCTGTTTCAGCTTTTGCCTGGGCTGCAGTTCCACACCCTGAACTCCTATACACAAGTTGGCAAGAATAGGAAGCCAGGTCTTGGGTCTAGGCTAGGCATAGGGGGAAGGTCTCTCAGGACCCCAACCCACTCTTCTGACAAACCTCTTTTAGAGTGCAGCACTTCACTGACTTGAGCAGTAAGATGCTCCACAATGACAATACAGCATGGGACAAAGGTGCTCCTTTTCTGAGCCCCATCATGAAAGCACATCTTAGAGCATGCAACACCTCACTTACAACACTGACATGGCCATGCCACAACATCCCTCTGCCACAAACCACTTTTTTTTTTTTTTAAACAATTTCCAACCCAAGTTACTTCATTAAAAACAGTGTATTGGTCAAAATTAATCAAAATTATTTCCTGACTCATGAGGCGTTTGCCACACATGATTATGAGAAACACCAGGTTAAAGACAGAGGACTAAAGAAACCCTTTTGGTGGGCAAGACCTACCTCAGGAACCCAGCAAACACAAGAGCTGGGAATAGGGGTAGAGCCAGCTGCCCATGGGACATGGTTGGAAACTGGTAGTTTGGCAGTAACCTAAGGTCCTCTCCCAGTTCAACTGAATGATGATAGGTCAGATCTGAACCCTGTGCTTATAGCAGGCATCCGAAGGCAGTGGAACTGATAACTACAGTGGCCTGAACTCAGATCTGAACCACTGGGCTCCAGCTGCTCAATCAAAAGGCCTATGCAGGGCACAGTGGGAAGAGAATCCAGAGAGCAACTGGGTTCTCATAGTCCCCTTCAAAAGGAAGGCCAAGCCTCCATCCAGGAAGCCAGAGCCTCCCCACTCATTAGCAACAGGGGGTTAGCTACTTGGGTTCAGACCCCAGGGTCAAAAAGTGAGAGGGACCCCAGGATATCCCCTGCTTTTTCCTAAGTAAGGACAGATGTAGCTAAAAAACAAACCAAAAAACCCAGCCTTTAGTCTTGCTCCAGAGGACCACCCTGCAGGGTTTAAAAAAGCAGACAGGAGCAGACGCCTTTACTAATCCCTCATGCCCACTTCTGGCTTCTTCCACCTCCTCATAGAAGGGACTTCCTAGGTCAGAGGGTCCTCGTGGGCAGCTCCACAAGCTCTGTGCTGCTGTATTGCTCAGCCCAGCCCCAATTAATGGCACATGTTTGGCTTGTAGGACAGTGGCACAGTGTATCTCATGGGAACAAGAGGAGTTGCCATGCACCCTTCCACACACATTTCAGGGAGGTGTCCAGGGGAAAGCCACAACTTATTATAGCTTCCCCAGGCTCCAGATTGGTTCAGTGTCTTATCCATACTACAGGTCAACCATGAGGATTTGTTGTTGTTGTTGTTGTTGTTTTAATTTGAAGAAATTCAACTTCCCACCACATATTTGATGTGGGCTCTCTCAAGGGCTCATGTATTAGAAGCCTGGTCCCTGGGGTGGTGGTTTGGGGAGGGGGTGTAACCTTTAGCAGGTGGGGCCTACTAGAAGATCCTTAGGCCAGTTGGAGATGCTGCTTTCAGAAGGGATCAGGAGAACCCACTTTCTCTCTGGCTTCCTATTTGGACATGTTCTCTCTCCTTCCTAATTTTGGCCTTTTAGCCTCTTAAACTAGAAACCTTTTCCTTCTAAGGTTAGCTTTCCTGAAGTATTTTGTTACGGTAACAAGAAAAAAAATGAACTACAACAAGGAATAACTGAGTGTCTATAGAGTTTCAGTTTTGCAAGCTGAAGGGAGTTCTGGAGATGGATGGTGGTGATGTCTGCACAAAAATGTCAATGTGCTAATGTCACTAAACTGTCAACTTAAAAATGGTCAAGATAAATATATTTTACCAAATAAAATGAAAAAGATACAGGGGCTATGGTGGGCATCAAAGAAAGGAGGCATCCCTTTTGAAATACTACCTAGCTCATCACCTAGACCAACATCAACTTGAATTTTGAAAAGCTGCCTCCAAATATCTTACTATATTGATTCCTGTGCCATTTCAGGGCCAAATGAAATTCTAATTGCCGTCAGCATCCCAATTTGGGTCCTCCACTTTTTTAGTATCTGTCTCCAGCTAACAGTATATTTGAGACGCCGGGGGCAGGGGCATACCCTCTGGCTTTTCTACAGCATTCCCATGGGCACATGGCTGGAGCACGTTACCTGGATGGGTAGCCAGCTGCACTGATGCGAATCGTCTCCAACACCCCACAGGCTCTGAGCTGCTGCACGGCTCTCTTTGGGTCAAAGCTGCCAATAACAAGATAAGCAATGAGCGTTTGTGTAGGCAAATGAACATAATATATGGCGCCTGCTTTACTGAGTTACGGATGGCCATGCACAAGGTCGGGGTAAAGCACAGGCTGAAAGGCACCAACTGGCAGGCGGATGAGCCATCTCGCCATCTCCAGTTCTGTAAATGAGGCTCTTGCACACACTCAATCCCGCCTCTTCTTTGCTTATCTGAATTCTGCCCACTCCCCCCTCCTGAGCTTGCCCTATTTCCATCCACATGGTCAAATATCTTAAATCAATGTCCACACCATGTACCTTTGGCATCGTAATCCTTACTTAGCCCAGGGGTTAAAAAAGTCAATTTCAGGCCTGGCAGACCTGCGTTGGACTCATGATACGGCCACTTACCAGATACAGACGTAATTTGGGGATTGAAACCACCTCTTTGGGCCTCAGCACCCTCATCTATGAAATGGATAACAGTACTCATTTTCCAGGGTTAGTACGAGGATTAAATGTAATGGCCCATGGAAGCAACTAGAGCAGTGCCTGGCAGAAGGGCACGCACTGTTGGCTAGGATAGGTCATGACAGCTGCTCAGTTAAGAATCATAGATGAAGAACTTACCTTCCTAACTCCATAGAAAATGGGTACCATCTTCAAACACTGCCATGCCCTACGATGCTAAGCCTAGCACTGAAAACCCAGCATCTCTCACACATGCTGAATGTGTGTGGGGGGAACAGATACCGTCAGACTTTGTCTGGGTTTTATGAGGGCATGTGTTTGAAGAAGAGAGGGCACAGAGGAGTTCCCTAAGGGGCAGTGTAGGACATGTGGTGAAAGTGTTCATAGAAACCCAAGGGGAAAATGTCAGGTTGGCTGAATGATCAGGGAGTCCCCAAGAAAGAATCAAGCTGATTTAGATTTAGTCACTACTTATAATTTGCTAAGAACACTGCTCTACTCCATGAGTAGCAATGAGGAACAAATGCTCCCTTTCCTTCCGGCTTCTTGCAGCTCAATGGAAACTCAGGACCAGGCTTTTGTTCCCTGAAAGTAGAAGGGCAGGAGCAAGGATCCACCAGGCTCACAGCCACAAATCTGGGAGATCATAGTGGCTTTGGCAGGACCCTTGACCATGTCACCAGGCAGCCTGCTTTCCTCCGTAGGCACCCCTTTGCCATGTCATCACCTGTCAATCTCCTTGACTGAGGTATTCTTTTTCCAGAAGCTGGACCCATCTAGATTCTGAAACTCTGCAGGACAGAGTTGCTGCCCTCAGAGTCCTATCTCTCCACAAGATTCTGTCTATGTCCTCCTATCACTCTGCATCTCTCTTAATCCCTAGCCATGCCCTTTTGTGCTGAGTGCCCCACGGGTCTGGCACACAGAAGTCCATCAATACAGCGTTTGGCAAATGGTGCCCTGGGCTTTCCTGAACTCAGTAGGTTTTCAAGCTACTGATGACTGCAAGCTACCACCGCATCTGCAGGTACACTGTGGTTCCTGAAGGCCCTGGGTCTCAGGAAGCACTCACACCTGCTTCTGGCCTGCACCTACGTCAACTTCCTCACTCTTCCCCATGACCTTCCCACGTCCTACCTCTTCCACATACCCGGCTCCTCCATCCCGTCTCCCTGATCCCTCCAGTCCCAAATAATGCTGGCCCCAGTGACTCTGACACTTTGAGTGTGTAAGGCACAATTGAGGGCTGTTATAATCCTGAGCTACATAATCACTTCAGATGATTTAATTTCATCCTTTAAACTAGAACCAAAGCTCTGAGGCATGAGTGTCTCATAGGGCCAGCGGAAACGCATGACTGAGCAAGTCACCACATGCCTGCCCTTTCCCACTGCCACACTGTCTGATTTTCCCCGAGTTTTCCATGGGATGCAGCACTGTTCTGGGATCAGATTGTAAGGAGCACCTCAAGACATAAAGGCTGCTGGGTCCCTCAAGTGACCACATGTGGCCTTCAGACTCTGCTGTCCACAGGCTCTGCTCCTCTCACTCTAAGGTGAGCAGCTGGTCCTGAGTTATAAGGTTGTCATGCTTGAGCTTTGGAAAGACGCTCTGTGGCCTGCAGGGGACCCTCTCCAGGGTTCCACACCCATAGAACCCATGTCCTCCTTCCCACCAGCATCTTCCTCTGCCTGGCACAACCACAGGGCCCAACAGCCCCCTGCATGTATAGTAGACAGAGCACACGCAGGGGCACCTGACACCCATGTGCTCTATGGGTCCAGCTGGGGTTCCTACTCCTACCAGGCCTACCACCATTCCCGCAGGAGAAACTAAGATACTTCCTGAAAACTAGATCCTTCCTTAACCACTATTTCTCTTCCCAGCCACAGCCCTTCCTGCTCTGCTACACCCTCCACAGCATGCCTTGCGACCACTGGGCATCCCAGTCCTGGACTGTGTCCTTGTCCTGTCTAATGGTCAGGCACCAACTTGCTAGGTGTAAAGTCACATCGCCAAGCATCGCAGAGGAAACTGAGAATGGAGGAGGGGGTGGCAAGTCTTCCCTTGGAGCCCAACACCATACGTAGATCTGGACCCATGAAGGCATTCAGCCCATGGTTTTTGAACTCAGCTTCGTGAGGAACTCTGCAAAGCCACTTGCCTCCTCATGCCTGCTCTGCCTTCTGAATGGTGACACTGTCCTCACTGTGCTCTGGGGAAAGAGTGAGACTATAGGAGAGAATGTCTTATGGCCTCAGTTCTGCCACTAAGGACTGGAGTCACTGCATGAGGCCCGATCTCTTCGTAACTGATTTTCCTCATTCACAGGCAGGAGAACATCTGCCTGTAACTCGTGTGCATGTTGTAACAATCATGTGACGTAAAAAAGGATTTTTTTTTAAGAGAAAAGGAAAAAAGATACCTATAAGGACAATATTGCCACCCCCTTTTCCTGTTCACAACCTCAGAGAAGGTATGAAACCAGCCAGCACCTTCTGAGCTCCAACCTGACTTCTCCAGAAGAAAACAAGTCCATCTGCCTCCTGCAGTCAACACGAGGCGACCAGAAATGGAAAACCAGCCCTTCTACCATGAAACTGTGGAGGACCCTGGTAAGGACAATTAACATGCAACTCTGGGACTGAAAAATCACCTGGTCAAAATGCTGAGAGCCAGGTTTACGCTCCTCGCCCCTCAGTACATGTGTGGGAACAGAGGAGCACCAGCTGCTAGGTGCAGGTGAGAATCCCACGGGGTCAGAACTGGGCTATGCCTAGGCAGTCACACACCACTCAATCCATTCTGCACCCCTTTCCCTTTTCTTTGGGCTTGAAGCTCACAACTCTGCCCTGAGACCCTGAGACCCGTGGGTGGGCCTGCAGGAAAGTCACACAGGTCTTTCAGCAAGTGACCCCATACTCTGACACTTGTCCTGGGCTACCTCCTCCCTGGACACTTCACCGTTCTCGTGTCCCCGTCACAGTAGCACTCTGAGAGCTGCTGACAGCCACTTCTGTGGCAATGCCAATTATTGTGATGGGCAACTCCTTAAGCATGGGGGACATATCAATGTCATTCTGCCTGGCCTGGCCCAGCAACTACTAACTGAGATAAGATAGATGTTTCTTGAGTAAAAGCAGCACAGGGAAAAATACTTATTATATAATAAGAGTGTTATCAAAGCATTCAGTGTGGGACCGTGGTTCTCAATGGGGTTCTCTCAGTGGTTCTATGCCCCCAAGAGAACACTTGGCAATATTTTAAAAATCTCAGTTGTCCTCACAGCGGGGATGCTCCTGGAATCTGGTGCACAGAGGCCAGTGAAGCTTCTAAACATCCTACGTGCACAGGACAGGCTTCCATGACCAAGAATCATCTGATTCCAATGTCAACATTGGAATGTTGATGGGAAACTCATTTCCTTCTAGAATAATGTCAATAATGTACTTAAACATTCCCCCACCCCCAAATAATCCCCAATCATTATCTCCTTGGGTTCTTTCATCAGGGTATCTTACAAATACAATTAACCGAGCAAAAAGAGTCGTTTATGATTAGCCAAAGAACCAGTAATGAGCCAGGGTTAGAATTCAGAATTTCTGGCTTGGTTTAGCGTTCTTCCTTTGGTCCCGAAGGCAAAGGAGGGTCTTAGAAAAATGGTATATTAGGACTAGAAAGTGCTTTCAAAATCCCTGGCTGCTCCTCTCATTTGGGAGGAAAGCCCTGCAGAGCTCCTGGCTGGTTCCAGGATCCGGTGAATGAACTGCCCAAGGTCACAGCTGGCTGGGGTAGGATGGGTATGGAGCCCATCTCTACGCTCCTAGGCCCTGCAGGATGCTCTGCAATTCACACCTGAGAGTCTTCCACACACGCTGCTCTTTCATCAGCCTCTTCTGGAGCCTGCCAGTAAGCGGATGCCATGCAGGGGGATTCCTAAGCACATCTCACAGCTTTAGAGCCAGAGAGAAGATGGAGCAATCAGATGCTTCAAAGAAGGCCGAGTGACAGTCTCTCTGGCTCTCTTGCACTATTAGGCCCATAGAGTGCAAAGTCCGGCTTCACTAAGCAATGAGAATAGAATGCAGTTTGGATATTCTGAGAGTTACAAAAAGAAATTACACTAGGACTGAAAATGAAATGACGGAACAAATAGGAATAGGTTCTTAAAAAGTTAACAGTATACCTTCTCTGGCCAAAAGGAGGGCACATGTGACAGCTCGAAGTAAGGGAAGAAGAAATGCTGAGGTGAAGAGGCCCTTAAGGGCCTGTGGCAGCATTCCAGGCAAGAGCGATGGGGCTCTGGGGATCACAGTTCTAAACTAAGGTCCATTTCTCAACTTGCACATGAGAGAAAACATGAGGTACTTGTCTTTCTGGTCAGGAATTAGGGGAAGGGTAGGTAAAGGGAGAATGGATTATCAGCCTGTGCTGTATGCACATGTTAAAATATCACACTGAACCTCATTATTATGTACAATTGATATGTGTTAAAAATTTAAAGGAAAAAATGAAGAGAATCTGGAACAAGGGATAAAGAGACCAACGTGTTAGGTTTTCATGTATACTCCATGGGACTTGGACAATGACCAGACACTGTAGTAAAGGAGAAGGAAGAATCAAGGCTTACACTGTCCAATAATGGTAGCCACTAGCCACCTGTGGTATGTGAAGTGAATCAGACAAAATGAATTCAGTTCTTCAACCATACTGGCCAGGTTTCAAGCACCAACAGCCACATGTGACCACTGGCTGCTGATTGCAGAATATACCCATCCTCACAGAAAGCTCTACTGGACAGCACCTGACCAGAAGTTCACAGCTTCCAGTGTGGGCAATCAGGTGTGGTGGGTAGATGAGGCATCAGGATGATTATGCCATTTTCTAGACCAGAGACCAAAGAAAGGATAAAGAGCCTGGTCCTTGGCCATCCTGAATGTGATATGGCCCATGAAGCTCTGATCTGGAATTTGGCAGAATCAAAAATGGATAAAGAAAATTGAGAATTGCTATTACATGACTGACCTCACCAAGAACCTGGAAGTATGGATAGAACTTCAAGAAACAGTCTCAAGGTGTGGGGGGAGCACAAGCAAAGGTGGATACTTGGAAGTGCAGCAGCGGAGTGAGGTGAGAAGCAGGACCACCTGCATGTCTCTCTACCTGCCATTTGATGGCCGTTTCTTCAATGCCAGAAAAGCATTTCCTGCCCATTTCTGCCATCCTGTCTGAATTTAACATTTGCCAGCGGAGACGAGGCTTCCACACTTACTGATATACTTCTAAATGGGCCTCTATTTGGCTCAGGCATGTGCATTCCTCAGCAACAAGGCAAGCTCCAGCAGATGGGGAAACTATATCTTCTCACCCTGACCATTCACCATGCTGGAGGCTACAGAGCCTCCCAAGGCTGAGCCCACCCTGTTGCACCTGAGCCTCCAAGGTGGAGTGAAAGGGGCTGGCCAAGCCCAGTAGGCACTTACTGGAAGGGGAGCTTCTCGTCGTTGGGCTTGATGCAGCGAACATAATGTGGAGTGGTGGCATTCAGGGTCTCCATGAGCAGATGCAGGGAGGTGCGGAACTGCAGAAGCAAAAGCCAGAGCCAAGTTGTTTATTTTCAACATTTTTTTTGGATGTATGATAAAGAAACACTCATACTGAGGGTGGTGGTCATTGTTACTATTATCAACCCCAGAGAACAGGGGAAAAAATTTGGAGACCTGGGCGATTCCAGTGACACTCCTACTCTGCAGTGACCAAGTGAGAAAAAAGGCAGGTGAACACTAAGGGAAATGAGCCATTTCACTGCTGGGTACTGGTGCTAAACATGGGGCACTGCAGCCTCACCATTCCAGAGCATCCTGGAAGTGACTGTAAAATGACCAGAATTGACAAGCCCACAGGGATAAAAGCAGGTGGCAGTTGCCAGGGACTTCTCTCTGGAGACACCAGACACGATACCCACAGAGACCTGGAGCAGGAGAAGCTGTTCTTGCCTCTGATCCCTGGACTTATTTGACTCTCCTCTCCACTCTGCAGAGTCCACTTTCTCACCTCCCCAGAAGTTACTGCAGCCCTTCACTGCCTCAGGGGTAATGCACTCACGGGCTGTCCTCATCCCCCTTCCTGGCTCTTCTGCTAGTCCTCTCTGGTGCAGGTTTTGCAGTTTCCTCTTCAAAAGATACAAAGCTCAAGCTTAGTGACCAGGGCTGCCAACGCTAAGGTCACTGTGGCCTCCCTGACCTTGCAGCTGCCCTTAATCTACAGAGAGGCCAACCCTGCCCCATGCACCATGGAGCTCAGCTTCTGGTCACAGGCCTGGAGCTGACCTGGTGGCCCACAGTTTTCTTGTGTTCCTTGTTGGAGGCCTTCATGGGGGGTCTGGCAGAGCGAATGTTGATCTTCGAAGACGATCCCTTCCCTGATGTGGTGGTGGCAGGAATAGGGTCCTTGTCATCACGAAACAAGTCGGCCACTAATGGGAACTAGAAACAACCACAAGAAAAACAAAAACCAGATCTCTCATACTTTGTTTAAATTTTTCCCCAAATAGCCAATACATAGTTGTGAGAAATGAAAACACGTCCACACAAGACCCCATATACCAATGTTCACAGCAGCATTGTGCATAAGAGCTACCAGGTTGAGATGCCTGGAATGGTCACCAACAGATCGATGGAGAAATGTAGTTATCACGCATAGGGTGGACTATGATTCAATATAAAGGAATGACCTCCTCTCACATGATACAATATAAGTACGTTTGAGAACATTGCGCTAAGTGAAAGAAGCCAGATGTCTCCAAGTTTTAGCTACCAAAAGGTGGCAATTTTCTTCCTATTCACAGCATCTTTGAAATGGATCATCTTCCTCCTCTCTTCATGCATTCATTTCAAAGTCATAAATATTATTTCTTCAGAAGGGAAGGGAAAGAACTGGGGGTGTAACTCAGTGGTAGAATTCTTGCCTAGCATGCATTAGGCCCGAGTTTGATCCCCAGCACAAGGGGTGGGGGAAGCCTGCATAATCAAGGGGGAGGGAATTGGTGAACTGTCAGAGAAACAGACAGTTCATACATGATTTTTTTAAACATCTGAGTAAAATTCATATACCAACATCGTAATAATGGTGCTTTCAGTAGGTACTCAATTCTACGAGCTATTGCAGTAGAGAAAGGAAATGAGGGGCTGGGGCTGTGGCTCAGCAGTAGAGTGCTTGCCTAGCATGTGTGAGGCGCTGAGTTCGATGCTTAGCACCACATAAAGTCATTGTGTCCATCTACAATTAAAGAAAAAGTAAGTGAGGTCACTGAATCTAGAAGTTAGATTGACTAGTTCTTCCATCTGTTCATCAATACTAACATCAACACAACAATAAAAGTTGTGCTGGAAGCTGGCAACACAAAGTGAATAAAACAGCCTCTGAGGTTACCCTTACACAGCTATGTGACCTATGGCAAACCCGTTCACCCAACTTGGTTTTGACTTGTTCATGTATAAAATGAGGGAACGGAACCTGATGATTCCTCTAAATCATTAATCATCTCCACGTAATGACAAGATGATGTTCTAATGAAAAGGAACATGTAATAAAGATAAACCCATCACAGTGGTGTGGAGGAAACCAGCGTTGCCTTAGGAAGGGGCGTTTGAGCTAGTGGGGTATTTGAGCGGTAGGAAAGTTTGGGGTGGAAGTGACTATGCATGGAATATGGGACATTCAATTAGGGGACTAATTGAATGTTAGGGGACTAACATGAAGTGGGTACAGCTACAGGGTACACAGTGAGAGGGAAGGAGGGATGGACCAGCTCATGTAGACCTTGGGTAAAGATTTTTGTTTTTAATCCTAAGAGTAATATAAAACCATTATATTAGCACCTGTTTCATAATAATTAATAATTAATATATCTCAAGTATGTTCTCAGCCTCCTCTCCATGTACTGAAAGGCATCCGAACTGCTTACCAACACCAGCAGGTAGTAGCGCTGTGGTCTCATTCCTCATGCTACCAGTCCCCTCTGAGGCCCACTGGCCCACGTCTCCTTTCTGGAGATCTTTCCTGAGACAGCAGCCCTACTTCGTCCATTCTCTCCCTTTCTGTTTCTTTCCAGCAACTTCCACTGACCCATATTCCTGAACTTCCCTCCTCTGGACTGCTGTTTGCTAGATCAGCATCTCCACCATTTTTTCTCTCAAACACTTGTCCCCGGACAATCTACTTCACGCCAGTGGCTTCCATTATCACTCTCGATCCTCCACTAGTGTCTGGTTTGTTATTTTGTTACCAGGGATTAAACCCAGGGGTGCTTAATCACCAAGCCATTGGGGAGCCCATTTTGTTTTTTAATGAGACAAGCCCTCACTAAGTTGCTGAAGCTGGCTTTGATTCTCCTGCCTCAGTCTCCCAAGCCACTTGGACTACAGGTGTGCACCATCGTGCCAGGCCCAAGCCTGGATCTTTTCATTACCATGATGGATATTTCCAACTGTCTGCTGAGCATCTTCCTTCCTCTGTGTATTCCAGTGGAAACTCCAGTTCAACATGGCACAAACTATCCTCACACGCAGCCTTCTGAAGTCTAGCTTGGTGATCTGCTCTCACCCTACCTCCTGTCTCAACTGAGTACCAGGCTCTGCTGGATGTTAAGTGTCAGCAGTCCTCCTGCATGAATCAGAATACTGCTTCCCTGGTTCAGCATTGCTGAGCTTTCCCCTGGGTCAGGAATCACACCCACATCCAGACATACTCTACAAGCAGCCAAAGTTTGCCATGAATGCAAACCTCATCCAGAACCCCCTGCTTTAAAACTTGTCAGTCCTTACCATCTATGGCAGAAAGCCACCACAGCATGAGTTAACTGAGAACACGGGGACAGAAGGGATCGGAGAGGAGGACAAGACATCAGCCCAGAGGGCTCCCAGGACTGGTTCCCCAAGCACAGGTAAGGTTGGACTGGTGTAGCAAAACCTCCACAGGGAAACGATGGGGGGAATGGGGGCTAACTGCACCTTCAAACCACACTTCAAAGACATCCTGTGGTTAAGCTTTTCAGGCAAATAACCAAACACTGGCTGATTCAATTAATCTAATCCATACTCCTTCTGAAAGGATTTCTAAGATGCTCAGAACAGGAGCTGAAATTACCAATCTGCATGATAATAATGGGTAAAGGGGTCTAATTTACAGAAGTGATCAATAGTTTGTTTTTTGTTGGTGCTGGGGATTGAACCCAAGACCTGTGAGGTAAGCACTCTACCAACTGAGCTATATCCCTAGCCGAAGAGTACTTATTGTACAAAAAAATCTGTGAAGTCCTAAGGTCAGAAACATGTATCAAAATTGCATGAGGAACTTTGAAATCAGACTTGCCAATAAAATTATCTCAAAATTTCAGCCTCTCTTGCTTCAGAAAAGCCATCTTACCTTTTTCATTTTATATGTGAAACCAGGGCTATATAACTTAAGAAGAGAATTGGAAGACTATCCAAGTCAGACTGTAACCTAAGCTGGCATCTGTGTATCATTGGGTATAAACATGACCAACACCAAGTCTGGAAAATTTGAGTTCTGCACTTGGAACACGTAGGTGAGTTTGGGAACATTAACTTTGGGGGAGGAGATATAGACTACATATTCTACTCAGGATTTGTTGCATAGACTTAGTGACTAAAGGTAGAGTCTAGGTTGACCAGGTGACTGAAAGATTGAGGTAACTTGTACAACCCTGGGTTGGAAGGCACAGACTCAGGCCAAAAGCATCAAGTACCTACCCTACTCACCCAACCCTCCAAGAGGGCTGGGGCAGAAGGACCTCTTCCTCTACGAGTGTCCAGACTATAAACAAACCTGAGCTCAGACTGCAAATTAGGTGCTTGATAAAGGATTCATAATACAATAAAACCCCACACTGCTGGGTGAAGGGGAGAAAATTTCTTCAACTTACTAACTCCAGTTAGGCTGTTAAATATTATTAAGAGTTACTGAGAAACCTGTTTGTAAGCCAGCTGACCAGGAACAGGGAAGTCCTTCAACTCAGTGGGTAATGGTGTGTACCTGGGCCTTTCTAAAGTCATTGTCTTCTAACTGAAAAAGTCACACGTAACACACCAGCTAAGCACTTCCCTAGTTGTGTTTGTCACGTATTTGAAACATGTCCACAAGTACTGACTTTGGAATTCTCTAATATTGAAACCTATATAGAGATTTTCAAAACCTGAGGGAAATCTGAGAAGGATTAAGAGAGGCACAAAACACTTGCTAAAGACCATTTGACAGTTTAAGAAAACATCAATTACAGTGCTCTGTGAAGCTGTTACCTTGGAAATCACACCTATTCACTTGTGTTTATAAGAATACAAAAGAGATTTCCTTTGTAACAGACACATGAAGCTAAAATAAGACACTAGGAAAGCAGTTTGATGGTGATATCTTGCCTAGAATCTTATCTTTAAATACTATTGCTGTAGACAATAAAAAATAGGTTTTCTTTTCAATTAACTCTTTTATACAATTAAATGCAACCCTGTGGGGAATCTCCGAAATTTAGATAAGGAACATTATGTTTAAATGGGTGTTAACCCAGTTTTTTTTTGGAGGGGGGTGGGGAGCAGGGAGATTCTGGGGATATAACCTAGGGCCTCATGTATGCTAGGCAAGCATTCAAATATTGCTGAGCCATATCCTCAGTCCCTAAAATGGTTTTGAGAGAAAGACTGGGCACTTCACTTTCTGGAAGAAGTAACATGTACTTTCCCTCCGAGGAAAGAGGATGGTGACACTGTTCCATCAACCTGGAAGTTTTCTTACACAGAGGCCTCATTGTTCTGTGTATTTCTAGAAGCTTTTCAAATACCAGCACATATAAGCAGCACTCCAAGTACCTTTAAGAACAAGCTTTTGTAATGTTGACTATCTCAATTAAGCTGATTTTTTAAAAAATTAAAATGTTAAAAAGGCAAATGTTTGCTCCAAATGGCACGTATGTAGCCTTTAAGAACATGTTAGTATGGAAAGCAACAGACTCGTCCACGTGACCTCCCCTTGAGAGCTGTGGTCAAACCATACAAGGCAGAAAGGAGATAGGAAGGGACACTTGGGGCTTGCCTGAGCTACTCTACCATGACTCCTATACCTCAGGGATTGTCTCTGCTCAGGGTAAGTCCTCTGAGCCAAGAATGGCTCCGGACTATACAGTTCTTGAGAACCCTACTGCCAGCACGGAGCAGAGAAGTGGCGTCAGACCTGCGGGCTCAGCTCAGCTCTCACTGGCACAAACACGTGACCCACTGCTTGTTGTCCTCAGAGAAAAACTATTTCCCTTTTGGGACTTTCCTCCCTCACCCCCAACAGGTTAATGAAATATTCCTTTTTATAATAAAAATGAGGGGAGAAGCTGCCATTCTTTATAGTGTTTAGAACAAATGAATCTGTTAATAACTTGAAGTCATGTCTTAAAGAGGCATTTCTTTACTTAAGACTATTTATAGCTCTGTGATAGCCGAGAAAGCAATTAGCTACGTTATAACCTCTTAGGCAGTGTAACTGGCTTTCCTAATTACACTCTCATTAACACGAGCTTATTTCTCTGCTCTTGGTGGGAGTTCCTTAAGCATCCCTAGGGCTCCCAGGCAGATGGGAGTCTGCCCTCTCATACTGCTTAATTATTCATGACAAGTGGATGGTTTCCTATCAGGGATGCCTCACCGAGGGAAAAGACCAGGAATCTCCTATAAAATAAAAGTACTTCAAGTTCAACTGAATTTACACAAGGATTTGAGACCGAGCTGCGCTTACAGAGAAGAAAATGAGTAAAAACAAAACCAGAAGCCACCTGGGTGGCTCAACATGGGAGAATAAAGACCTAGAAAGATGCCCTAACACACAGTTAGAAACGTGTCTTGGAGGACTGCTGTGAACACCGTGAAACTTTAACAAAAAAGGCAGAGGCTTGATAAACCAGGATTTGTAAAAAGGCTAAAATGATAGATGCTGTCAGACTCGCCATCTGTCCAAACAACTGAAAGCACACGTGGAGTCCCTCTCGGGTTTGCAGCCCACCTGTGGACTGGCTCATGGTGACCCAGTGTCAGTCTTTGCCTTCTGTCCTTGGTGATGTTGAAGATGGGCTGTAAGGGTTCTGGCTGCCCACAGCCCTGCCTGGTGACCTGAATGCTGCTGGCCACTGTCACTGGATCTCAGGGAGCTGTGGGGAGGCAACAGGGCACTGGATCTTTACAAGTATGAGCTGGTGAGGGAAAGCTAGAGCTATGGTGGGTGGATCGGGAAGAAGGTAGTTCCAAGAGGGGAGCAGAGACCTACTGTGCCCTCCAGCACGGCAGTATCTACAGACCTGTGGTATGTATGCCCTTTGAACCATGAGTTCCACTTCTCAAATTTTAGCCAATAGACATAATTGTACAAGTAAGCAGAGAGACACATAAAGGGCATTCACTGCCACTGTTTTTGAAAAGCAAAGTGCCAGTAGTTTTTTTTTTTAAAAAAATAGGAAAAGTAGAAGATGTGCACTCATGTGGAAAGATGGCCAAGATAAAATGAGTGAAAAAAAAAAAAAATCAGAAGACAAGGTATGCATAGCGATTATTTCAATCTTAAAGACATACCAACGTGCTCACACATGCAGAATAGGAATTCATCAGAAGATTTGTCAAGGAGTGGGAAGGAGGGACTTTTATCTATGTAGTATCTGAATTTTTATGAGTCTACATTTCATTTCTAATAAACATCCCCAATCTAAAATGATGCCTCTGTAAAGAGCCAGTATTACAGTCTGTGCTTTCCTTAGAAGGCCTGTTTACAAGGTCAAGCCTTCTCGTGTTTGGGAACTTGGACTTCAGCATTCCTGATAAGACTGGCTCACTGGGCCTGCACCAATTATACCAGCATTTTGGTTAATGTTGAATACTTGTTTTCCTCTTGGGATTCTAGAATTTTGGTTCATGCTAGGCAAAGGTGGCCCACATAAGTGACCTCAAGCCCTGGACACATTTCCTGGTAAGGTTTCACCAGTAGCACACTTGCTTTTTGGTGGAGCTCAGCACATCTTCTGCGACTCCACCAAGGGAAGACTCTTGCCACCCTGTGCCTGCTCACTCCATGCAGTTGTCCTCTCGCTGTCACCACTCACATCACAGCAAGTACAACTGCAGGCCGAGCTCTGAGTCCTGGTAGCCAACTACTGAACCTGAGGGTGGTCTTGGCCCCCAGCAGACGCCTTTCCTTTTCCACAGCACCTTCTTGACCTTCCACAGCAGAACTTATATATCATGACAACGTGTATCTTTTAGACTTCCATATGTGTGTAGTAACTATCTTCACTAGATTAAGACCCATGAGGCTGACTCTACTTAGTTACCAGAAAATACCACACAAATGTTCAGTTAAGCTGTTGAATTAAGGGAAAGAGCTCAGTTACTAATAAAAGGGGATCTGCTGGGGAGAGTTTTATCAGCAATGCTCATTTTTAGGTTCTGGAATTGCTGAGAACCACTCAAAACCCACAACACAATGGTGGTATTGGAAACAAACTGCTTAACAAGAACTACCAAAGCTCTTTCCCTTTCCCCTCGTTTCTGCTTCTCCTTGAAAGGAGAAACTCAAGTCAAGATAGCAGACATCCCGGGACTGAGGGCCACTGTTGGACTCACAGGAAGCCATGGGTCTCTTGGCACTCTAGGACACATGGGACAGGGAAGAGTCTCCAGTGCTCACACCATTCGCTTCTCCCTTCTCTGTGGCCTGAGGCTCCTCTCCCACACTGCCCCCACCCCCACCCTTGGGAAAGATGGAAAAACTCCTACAAACCACCTTGGACTGGAGACTTGGAAAGTTGGGGGAACTGAGAGGTTAATGGAGAGCTGAACTCCAAAATAATATTCACATCTACCCAAAGCCAGGGGCTCATGACTGTTCTCTAATGTTGGAGATATCCAGAGATGAGGTTGGGCAGGGCAAGTCCACATGCTGCTACTGACTCAAATCCTCCCTCCCTCCTCTCCCCACCTCAGGGGCCACATGACACAACAGGGTTTATTTGGCCTTATATCCTTGGGTCCATTCTGCTCTGTATATTTGTGTATTTTCCCCATTCTATCATCTCACCCTATTGCCTTCATCTAAAGCTTATCACAAAGAGAAATTAATCTGTCATTTCTACTCTGTTATCAGGCCCTGCAGCGAGTTCACTGCCACATCATCTGGGAGAAAGCCTCCTAAATCCTGCAAAGTCCTTCCCTTCCCTTGGTTTCTTCTGAAGGGCTGAAGCCCCAGCAGCATCTGTCCTGGTGTTGGCGTTTAGAATGCAGGCTCACAGTCCTCTCCTGGATGCAACTCCTTTCCATGCCCCTCTCCCTTCAAGTCACCTGTGTGCATCGACCTATTTGCCCACTCACAGTCCATGGGAATGTAGCACCTGGAAGGCAGAATCTGCTGTGCTTGCCTTTGAATGAGCAGGTGGGTTTAGGGCAATACCTCATGGGCAGGTGCATAACAGATGTGTGTGGGTGAGCAGTGTGCGAGTGAATGAGGACTTTATTTCCTCTACCCATAGAATGCACACAGCATCTGTTCTTTCCTTGCTCTGTAACGACAGGCAAACAGCTAAAATCCTGGAGATAACAAAGTCTGAAGTAGTAGATTTAAATATCTTAAGCCTCAGCTCATATTCCATTAAGTTTTTGCCTAGAGAGAGGTTCTGTAGACTACTGGACAAAAATGGAATACACAAATAGAGGGACATGAAGGAGTTTAGATAATCTCACATCTGCAGGTAGGAGATGGAGGACAGTAAAGTTTTCACCATTACACTCACCATTGTCCCTCATTGCCATCTTCCCTGCACCTTCCCATGTCCTTCCCTCTGCAGGTTTCTTCCTCTGGGCTCTGCCCCACCACTACACACCCTGCTTTCTTCCCTCCACTAGGCCACAGTCAAATGTCTTCCAACTGAAATAACCAATAAGCCCCTTCACCTGACCCAACATCACTGCCTTCCTGTACTCCACAGGGGTCCGACACCAGCCGCCCATCCCAGATCTGGCCATGGACATCCTTGTTCCGATCCCCATTCTCTTCAGTGCTGGGGATCAACCCAGCAGCCTGTGCATGCTATCCAAGCGCTCTACTACTGGGCTACCTTTGGCCCCATACCCAGTGCTCTTTACCTTGCTGGCCTTCAGGATGTTGATCTGCTCTTCATACACTGTGTCCCTGTTTTTCTCCAGAAAACCATCTGAGAGGTACTCCACCTGGGCCGCAAGGCAAGGAGAAACAAGCATCAGGGCTTCAGTCTGACCAGGCCCCCACAGTTTCGTGAGTACTTTCATCTCATCCACGTAGCATGTTCTAAAAAGAGCTGTGAGTAGCTGGGAAATCCACACAAGTTCCTGTTTAAAATGCAAATGCCATAAGCCATCAGGATTTACAGAGTGAAGCTAGTACTCATTTTGTGCAAGAAAATATTTTCTTAAACGGAAATCCCAATAACAGAAGGCCTCTTCAGGGCTCTGAATGCAGCTTCCAAGCCACGCAGTGGACTGAGCCATGTGCATTTTAACAAGACGCTAGGTGATAGACAATCTGAGAATTAAGCAACCCATTTAGAAAAGTTCTGTGTCCACACCCATCACTAGGAGAGGAGCCCTGTCCCATGTAAGAAGGCAAACCACATGCTACCCTTCTGTTTTCAAGCCTCTTTTCCTCTCAAGCTCTGGGACGGAGGGATCTTAACAGCTCTACAGGCTGCGCTCTTCCCAGAACGGCTCTCAATAGCACTGATGACGCATCTGACCAGCAACTGCCACAGCCCATGAGCTTGAGCCATGTCTCAGCAGTCTGGCATACCAGAGATGGGGCAGGGTGGGGAAGGAAGGGTGCCCGGGAACCTACCTGACACCTTGGGCCACTTGGTGATCCTACATAATCACTAATTCAGACTGGCATGAATTGATAAACAGAGAAGACCAACAGTCAAGGTCATGAGTATACATACATCCCAACTTTCACTCCATAGCCACCTTCACAAAGGACAGCTCGCTTAGCCTAAAAACCCCACTCTGCCTAAAGTGGGGATAAGAGAGTACAAAGCTGGCAAAGAGGACAGCCACCTTATCTGCGAAGTGGACCACAATGAAGGCCGTGTTGGACATGCGGGGCTTCTGGAAGTGCTGGCTGCTGGAGTGCCGGTCGTAGAGCTTCTGCGCCCAGTTCTGGTCAGTTCCTTTGGGGACCTGCAGAGCCACAGCACAGAACAGAGGTTTTTGTGAAAAGGAAAGCAAAGAGCCACTGCAGAGGGACAGTCTGTCAGCACTTTGGCTCTGTGAAGTGGATTCAGTCCTCAAACCGGGACCTTTACTGGACCGTGGAAAGAATAAGTGTACCATGGGCGTTGAGGAGACCCTTAACCCAGCATGTGGGGCTGGCCCCCATGGGAGCATGCTGAGCCTCAAAGGACCTGCTGTTCGGCTGAAGCAGGAAGTACAAAGAGGCTGAGGATGGAGGCAGAGTCACTATGAAGCCACCAGAAGATGCCTCTTCCTGCAGTGTCATGAACATGCCCCTGTCCTCCAGCTCACTCAGGGGACCCTACTCCTAAGCCCATCCAAGTACCAGCTTCCAGACTCGGCCCATTGCTCTATCCCGACTTTGCATCTCTCTTCTTTGGAATTCCTCACAATTGAGCTCTAACACACATCATCTAATTGGTTTCTGGGTATTGTCATTACACATAAGCCACAGTTGGGTTCTACTCCTGCCAAGTGCCTAGTGCTTGAACTGCTTGGGACAATCTCTGCCTCCTCACAAATATCAATTCAGACTTAGAGGTTTCCCTACATTAAGAATTCTGAAGGGCAGCCCCTCTTAAAATCTGTATGGATAGCTTCAAAAGTAAACAGGCATCTTGCTTCATTGAAAACATAAAAAACACCATAACCACCATTCAAATTGTCAAAGATGACAGCAATTTATCCAGTGGGAAGGGCCTCCCTCCTGTAATCCTCGACACCCATGGTCAGAACTGGTGCAGTCCTCAGTTAGGGGTTAACTGATTTGCCCTTCGTTAGTTTAGATTGCACATTTGGATCAGACAGGGTTTGAAGGTGACCCTTGTAGCAACCATTTAAAAAGGGCTTTGCTAATAAAATTTGTGCCCTAAGGAAAATGCTTACGTACTTGGGAACAAACTTCTTTAATCCTTTGTAAGCAAACATTTTTCTCAAGATTCAACGTGGAGCAACTAGTCTTGAATCCCCAGTGCTACGCGCCATTGGGAATTCAAGGAAAGAAAATGCTTTCTTGAAAGAAGCTATTAATTGTGTTGGGCAAACAGTAAAATATATTTAATTCAGCATTTTCTATATATACACTATTTTATATTTGTCTCCAAGTGTTCTGTGTTTAGAACCACCAGGTGTGGGGAAAGGAGGGGTCAGCCTGGTGGGCTGTCAGGACCAAACAGGCCAGAGAGTGTGAGACTGGGAAAAGCAGACCATGAGAGCAGAAGCTCCACCTAAGCCAACACTGATATCTTTTAGCAACAATCACCTTAAAAAAAAAAAAAAAAAAATTGAACTTCCATGAGAAGACTATGCAATCGATCCTACATAATCACTAATTCAGACTGGCCTGAATTGATAAGCAGAGAAGACCAACAGTCAAGGTCATGTGTATACATAGATCCCAACTTTCACTCCATAGCCACCTTCAACTAAAAATAGGAACCAGCAAAAATTCAAAACAATTAAGATTCTTAGATAAGTGCTTTGGGCCTTGGCTAGTATTATTTGTCATGAAGCTTGCTACACATTTTGGATTCATCAATGCATTGAATCCTTACATTATATATACACATACTTTAGGGATAAACTGAGGCTGAGAGGTTAATTAGCCCAAGGTCACTCAGCTGAGGAGAAGCCCCAAGCCAGGATGGGCTGGCTGTGGGGCATGTGTTTTTTGCCACTCTGCTTTTCAGCCTGACAATAGAGTTCAAGGCAGTCATGAAGGCAGGTTTGAGTGGAAGGCGGCACTAATCTCCAGGATTCTTTCCACGAAAGTAGATTTTAATCAGCCATAGGAAAAAGAGAATCTTGCATTTTGACCAATGTGGATGATGGCTATCAGAAGCTCTGGAATTTGCAGCTGCATCAAGTCATTTAGAAAGAAATCCGCACATGACCTCATATCAGCTTCTTGACACTCAAAGTGTGGAGAGAACCCTGGACCAGCTGTCCTCAGGTCTAAACTCTGCCAGTATGGTGCTGGCCCCCACCCCCCAACAATGGAACATCAAAAAGTGAAGGTGGCTGGGGATATAGCTCAGTTGGTAGAGTGCTTGCCTCACATGCACAAGGCCCTGGGTTTAATCCCAAGTGCGCGCACACACAAAAAAAGTGAAGGTCCCATTTATATGAAATACCCCAAACAGGCAAATTCAAGGAGACAGCCGGAAGTGTGGGCAATGGCTGCTAATGGTTTCTTTCTGGGGTAATGAAGATACCCTGGCATTGACTGTGGAAGGGATGGTTGCACAGCTCTGTGAATAAACCAAAAAACACTGGACTGTACACTTTAAATGGATAAACTGTGTGGCATGATATGCGTTATCTCTCAACAAGGCCATTTACAAAACAAACCAAGTTTACTCTTTGTTATTAAAATAGGAAAAAAAAAAAAAAAAACAGGGTTGGGGATGAAAGCCCTTGGGTTCCCTAAACTCTTCTTCCACCAGTAGTATTTGATCATATCCTATGGCCAAGGACCATTTCCCCCACCCCCCCACAATGGAACCTTGAGCAGAAACTATTCTATCGTATCACCTGGGGCCAGCATCTTCCCCAACAGATAGTAGATGAGTGCTGAGGACCTCACAGCCCATTATTCATCTGTTTTATATCCCTATCCTCCTGGGCCACTGCCACCAATGACTGCCTCCCCCACCACTTTCTCATTCCATCCCGTACCTCTCATCTCCTGGCACCTCCTACTCCTGTTGACCTCTCATCTCACCACTGCATCACAGGACCTCTGGATCCTCAGGCTCTTTGAGGAGAATTTCTGCTCCCTCCTGGCCATCACAGAAGCCCAGCTGGGTCCAGGACTCTGTAGTTCTAATAACTCTGAGGAGGAGGTGACTCCCTCCTCTGCACCCTGTAAGCAGCCTCCCAATACCACACCCCACCCCATGCTCCGCAGAGCACCAAATGCAGAGAGCTCAAGCATCCCTCAACTCCATCTCCTCACCCCGAGGCTGGAACAAGCCACACATCAACTCACCCTCCCTTCACCAACACTGCTGCCAGAAACTAGGACCAGGCTTCACTGAGACTCACTTCTGGGGATTAAGATGCTGCTCCCACATCCAAGCAGGGAGATGACCTTGATGACCCCTCAATCTCATTTACAGTCCTTGACCTCAGCAAACACCTGTGCACTCAGATATTCTCGTGCCTGCTTTTTCCATCCTCCGCAGTTTCTGACCTACCTCCTCTAGGCACGTTCCCCGTTTCCTTCTTCACAGGGAAATGGAGGTTGTCAAGCAGGAAATCACAATCTCCTGCTCAAACATCCAGAAGCACATCTGCATCCATAGCCTCCCCACCCTCCTGCCCTGCAGGCCAGCATCCCACCCACCTCTGCCTACAGCTCCTCTCAGCCAGGCCTCTAGGAAGGAGGTCAAAGCCTCCATCTTCACATCCTCACCTTCAATTACTGAAGGTTGGCCTCTGTCTGACAAATCCCTTGGGATGGCTCATTCCAAGACACTGGAGGTGGCTTTTTTACTGCCAAGTTCCTCAAAGCCCTGTCCTCCCAGGAAGTTCACATCTTCTGCCTCCTTGCCCCAGGCTCCTCCTCCATCTTCACTTAGGGGAGCTTTGGGGCCATTGAAGAAACCCTGAACCCTTGATCTGGACAGAGTAAATGTCCTTGACAGCAAGCTGTCCCTGGATGAGCAAACAAGGCAGTGCAGTGGCCCCATTGCCTTTAGCCTGATGTCACTGTGGAGTCATAAAAATGGTACAATAGCTTCTTCAGGCGGGGCTGGACTGGGCTCCATGAAATGGAAGAATCCTAGTCTCACAGGGCAGAGAGGGAAGAGCCTGCCTCCCCTATTGGATCTGCTTTTGGGGACCCCCCCCCCAAACACACACCTCTCTGGCCTGTGGCAGCAATCTGCACTTTTACTTATCACCATTGCTCCCAGAGCTTAAGGTATTTCCAGAAGATTCCTGCTAAAATGCAAATATGTCACCCATGAGGAAAGCAAGCACTAAAGTCTCATATCCTAACAGCACACACTAGCTTGTTCCCCGTAGAGGGAGGAGACAATGGACAGGATAGTGGAGGGCAGGAAATACCCAGTCTGAATCCATTTAGGAGAGGACCTCGAGGCAGCCTTAAAGTGCATCCCATTGGTGCAGGTGAGTTGTGCTCACAGCAGCCTGGAAATGAGCATTTCCTGGGAGCACACACCCCCTTTTCTGCCTCCCCGCCTTGGACAACTGAGGGACAGCTGTGGTTTGTGACTTGCTCGAGGTCTCGTCGCTAAGCTGAAGATGCTGGTTTTATTTCTGGTGAAGGAACCCAAGTGCCTTCATGTTCTGGTCCCTATGCCTCCCTGCAGGTCCTGGCACACGTCACAGGCCTGGGGAGGACCTGTGAGCTGCCCCTTTAAGTCTGCAGCCAGCTCATGTCCACTGAAGCCCCAGCTCAGACCTGGCCCCTGCTCATCTCCTCCAGAGTGATTTTTATGCGGGTGGCTTCACACTACCAGTCCAACCCTCACTTGGCTTAGTGCTGTCATCCAGGGGCCAGAGAACTCGATTCTTTAAGTGTGACCTCATTCTCATTCTGCAGAGGATCTTAGGAGGAAGAAAGGGACCTGTCTAAAGTGGCTCTTAGTCAAACAGGATCAGTCCTGAGAGAAGCCAAGTTGCCCAGCTGTGACCAATTCCACGGGAAATCCTCACCTGCTCAGGCTCACAGCCATGGCGCTTCCAGAAGGGCCCAGCAGGCCCACTGCCTTTTAAAAGTCACTTAATACAGTACAGTTTCCATATAGTAAAATGCTTGCTTTATAAAGGGTTCAACTGCATGAGTTTTGACAAATACAATAACATCTGCTGGCTTTAAAGCCACCTGTTACTAGAAGCTGCATCAGATTATTCTCCATCATCCAGAATTCCCAGAGCAATTAAATCTGGTACAAAAAGTTCCCTCATCATGGGCTTTTGTCTCATTCCTTTATTTGGTGTTCATCTCATCTCTCTAGCAACACCGGTGACCGTGGTCACCAGTGAGGTTAAATGTGTCACATCCACAGTACTCTATCCAGCATCCCGACACTCCAAGCTCCCACCAGCTCCACGAGGAGGAAACGTAGGCTTTCTGCAAACCGTCCAAGCAGCCTCAGGTAGATCACAGTGGCTGCAGAGCTCAGGGCCGGGCGCCCAAACTGCCCTTAATGCTATTCAGCTGTGACTCTGCTCTCCTTGGACTGTGGTCCAGACCCCTCCCACAGACTCCAAATGCTGGCCCTGCATGCAGACTTCCTAGTCCCCCGGCTCACTGGAGCCTAGGGCCTCCCAACATGATCTCATCGCTCTTCCCTAAGATCCCTTCCCTCCTCTCCCATGAGCTTTTCCCTCCCAATGAGACATCTAGTAGCTGTGCAAAACATTTTGGTGTTTGATGAAAAACAGTGGCAAGAATTTGAAATACAGGCTTATTTTCCTTTCCCAACATGATGCCCCAGGTGGCACGTATACAGAAAGGAAACAAGATAGGAGGGTGAGGGTGCCCTTTGGACATATCCCGTGCTGCAGTGCAGAAGTCTGGGTGCTGTACACGGCCTGGACTGTGGGCCTATTTTCCTGAACCACTGCTGTTCCCACCAACTGCTGCCTACTCACCCCACTCCCAGAAGCCGCTGTTTCCAGCCCAGCACTGCTCCAGCCTTTCCAGGGGCTTGTGTCCCACCTTTGGACAGCAGTCTGAGGTTTCTGTCCATCTGACACCACACCTGTCTGTGCACTGGGGACAGTGTTCCCACTGCCCTGGTTTAACACTCCCATCAGATCTTCAAAGGATAAACCAAAGCAAACCCACTAGCTTGCAGTAGGGGCAGGGTAAATCTTTAGGCAGCTGCTAAGTTGCAGAACAGGCCATCCTGAAGCCCTGATTTTGGTGAGAGGCTGTGAGTAAATGCGGAGACCATGCCCTGGGGCCTGCTTCATTAAATTCTTCATCACAGAACCAGGTCCACCCGTATAGGGGTAACTGCCCTCAGTTGTGCACGACTTTCACCTTCACCATAAGGGAAGAGAGTTGAGAGCTGGAAATGGCCTAAAGCAAGGCTGAAGAGCTACCTCGGCCCAGTACCCCCAGAGGCCTGGGCTGGACACAGGACCCCGGGATGCCTTTGGGTTGGAGGTGTGGAGCTGGAGGAGATGGCCACTGACAGGAATCTCCAGAGAGACTGAGGAAGGGAGCATGCTCCTGGCCGAGCTTAGGAAGAGGGCTGTTGGTAGGGGACACTGAACCAGGAGAGTCTGTGAGCATCAACAGCAGGAGGGAAACAGGAGGGCCTGAGCTGTGACTCCAGCCATTTAGTCAGTGCCACTCAATCCAGGGACAATTGTTCTACCTTAATCGCAACTCTCAGGTTGGGTGAACCCAGACAAACACCTGACATACTGAGAAATGATCCCTGCTTTGACACTGACAATAGAGCCCACATCTCCAGAGAAATGCTGGAAAACGATAGGGGATAAGAATATGCCAGCTGTAGGGGTCAGTATGTCTTACACTGACTTCTACCATTTTGTTCATCTTTCAGTTTCAAAGGCAAGGAAATGAGAAGCGCTCCTCTGGAAGGTCAGCTCCTCCTCCAATTACTGAGCCACACTCCTTCCTTCATGGTAAAGATGTCGAGGACCAGAACGTCCAAGCAGTGGGGTTCTTCCTGTTCCATTCCAAGCCCCATGTGGCTTCCACATCTTTCAATTAGTTTTCATCACTGGGAGGAGGAGTATGTATCTACCTCCTTATCAATCAAGCACAAAACTGGAAGAAACCCAGATCATCAAATCCAACCCCCATCTATTCAAAGCAGGAACTAGAAGCCAAAGAAATAAGGCAAGTGATAAAAGTCAGGTCACCTTACTCTGTTCCCAAAGTTGCCAGGTGCTCTACCTGCTGGTGACAACTTTCCCCCCAAAACTGGACAGAGTAAACTTAATCACATGGGGCTATCTAAGGATCTGGCCTGATACCACACCATGCAAAGCTATCACTCACAAGCCATGCTAACACCTTAAAGATCAAACTGGCTTTTATGTCCTTACTCTTTGGGCACACCTGTCTAGATTTGGAGTCTTTTCCTTGGCATCTAGGACATCTGAGACACCAAATCCTGTTGAGGGCCACAGCTGAGTCAGGATGCTGGGCAAAATCCATACCACCACATCACACTATTCTCTACCACCTACTCTGTTTACCATGGTGGTGACACCCACTAGTCACAGTGTGTTACCTTCTAACATGCAGAATGGATATGAACACTTTTTCTAGATCACTAAGACCAGATAAATTACCCATTACAGTACAGTGTTAAGATCTTACATGCTCCCTTATCCCACACAACTGTCCTCTGCCCCATGCCTCAAGTCTAGAATTGAGCCAGTTCGATGACAGCACATCAGTTTTACCTTACATTCTTCATCCAAGAGGTCCAAGATACCCAACTTAGCCTCTATGAGGTCGATGCAAGGTTGGTTATCATAAAAGTCAATCAAGGTCCAAGGGATCTGCTCCTTCATATATTCTTCTTGCTCCAGTTTGAACACATGCTAGGCCAAGAAGTAAAAGGTCAAGGTGAGCAAAATGAAGACACACCTTGACATGAATCTCCCCTAAACACTCAGTGAGTTCTGGTTCCTAGAAAATGGCAGGTAACTGCCAGAAAAGGTTGGGGCACTAAGTCACAGTCATGACTGCAAAACAGAAAAGTTCGATGATTTCCCACAGAGAAATGTGACACCTACTGTAGGATAGTTAAATGATCAGTTGTGTCGCTACCCAACCAATCACAAGAAGTCACCCATACCTAGCCTGCATTTTCTTAAATGCTCTAGAAGCCCAGGATCAGAGGAGTGGGAATCAAAGCTAAGGAGACAAACATCAACTGTCAAAAGCTTCCCACGTCACCTCCACCCTGCAGGAGTGCACAGCCACTTTGGAAAGCTGGGGGTTCCTCCAGGAAACCAAGAGGAGATCAGGGCACTGCTGGGACCCACTGACCTCAGATGGAAAAGAAGCGATTTGGGCTTTGCTCCAGAATAACAGCCAGGCCTCTGCCATCCCCAGCCCTGGCCCCCTGCTATTGAACCCCACTTACCGAGTTGAACTGCTGCTGGAGTTTCTCATTGGCATAGTTGATACAAAACTGCTCGAAGCTGTTGACCTCAAAAGTTTCAAACCTGCAGAAGAGAAAGTGGTAAATACAAAGGAAAAAGACACCTCTGTTTATGGGAAAAAAAAAAAATTCACCAGGAATTCAACAAGATTACCCTCACCATCTATACCATGCCAGTTCAACCCTAAGGCCAGCACTGAATTCCCATTTCTGCTTCAAGGCTCAGAGGTCACTGCTAGAGACATCAGCACTACAGGGAACTTCCATAAGTTAGGGAAACTAGACAGCTATTTCCATAACTAGAAAAATACTGATAGTGGGAAAATTTAGGGAAAGCAGACATAAAACTGAGTTTAATTCCTAGCATCCCCCATCCACCTCAAAAAAAAAAAAAAAATAACAGAGGAGCTGAGGACAAGGAAAAGTTCCCAGAAGGGGAGGTTTTTGAGACACTGTGGGAGGGACAGACAGTGATACCACCAATAGGGGCCTGAGGCACAGGCCCATGCAGCCTACGGCATTATGTCTCCACCCCTCCCCATTCCTCAATATCAAATTCTCTCAATGTTAAGACAGTGTCTTCCCCAAGTACTACTTTCAAACAGAAATGCTCATATGCTTCCCCAGATGAGGTTAGTGATGATGGTGGCGGGGAGATGGCAATCGATACAGAGGGACCACCAAAAATAGATTCATCACCCAACAGGCCTGAGTCAGTGCCTACAAAGCTTTAGGCTTCCCACGCCCACCTCCCCACTAAGGTGTAAGACACGGATAAGCAGGAAGTCATCTCGAGATCAAAGAAGTCAACTGGTTGGAGACAACCGCATTAAAGTACAGCCTTTGGCCATGCCTGTGTGGGAGAAATAATTCTAGGTTAATAAAACAAGATCAAAGACGCAAGTCCATGCTAGGATGAAGGAGGCCACCTCTGTGTGATCCAGAGCAGGCAGAAAAGTGCCGTGTCGCTCAGTCATTATCCTGGAGTGCGGCCCTCCCAGCCCACGGGATAGTCCTACAGACTGAATTATGTCATTTAGAACCTCATTCCCTCCTCCCCACCATCCCAAGAAAGACTACTAATGATAGTCGAGACCAAAGGAGATTTAATAAAATCCAAAGATTAAAAAAAAAAAAGCCACCCCAGCAATTGGCTCGATAGCGGCAACGGGACGTGCTGGCAGAGCTCCTCCTGAGCTCCACAGATGATAAAAAAAAAAAAAAAAGATTTAAATATTGCTCATTTAAGGTTTACACTGGTTGTACTCCATGAAGAACATTCTCATTAATTTGAGATGGCTGAAATTAGCTCATAATATTGCTATTTCTAAGATATTATCTGGTAACCATTCCTCCGCCATCTAGTGTAATTGCTGCAATGCCGGAGGGCCAGAGATAGATGAGGAGGGGCTCAGGGAGCTTGGAACATGACTAAGAGGACTGAGCTCAGAAAGCCCCAGTGAGGGAGACAGGGCAACTTCCTCTCTGCCATGAAATTATATTTGGAGTAATCCTTCCCATCCACAGATGACTTTTTAAAATAATCGCAATGGACCAATTTATAATTCACAGCATTAAAATGTCACAAGGAAATTTATATACTAGAGAAATTGGATTTCCCTTGTAAGATCAATGTGGAGAACATATAGACCAGAATCCGTGGGTGAGGGAAGTTCAAAACATAAGACCAGGATGTGGCATCTACACGGCTGGAGGGACAAGGATCACCCTGCTTTCGTTTCTTTCTATCTTTAAAATATCAGTTGAAAAGTCAACAATTTCCTTCTCATTGTACTGCAATTTTCAGTGTAGCCAAGGCCCAAACACCTCTAAAAATGACACCTTAACTGTTGCAAAGTGCAGTTAAGATGTTGACTAGCCACCCGGAGTTAATTATTCCCCTCCGTGAATCCCCAGCTCCAGAACCTGGGCAGTCAGCAGTGAGACAGCGTGAAGCTTCCGGGTGGGGCAGAAGAGCTGTCCCAGAAGAGCGCAGGGCAAAGGAACCAAAGCTCAGCCTATCCAGGTTCCAAAGAGCACTCCCTAGCATTTTGCCTTTGGTAGAATGTAAACACATGGAACACAGGATTCACAGGGGAGGACTTCCACCAAAGGATAAAAGTCATGCAGGAAAAATGACAGGGAAATTGACTCTAGACTAGCCGGTAAAAACTGGACCTCGGTGTACTGGGACCAGAGAGGTGATCCAAACATCCCTGCAAGGTTCCTTTCCATCCAGAAGCTCATAATCCTCACAGGGGACCTTGCAGGATATTAGTGAGCTTTCCTCAAACTTGGGTTGTTGGTTGCACCTTCAAACAGGAGGACTTAAATTCTACCCATGTACTTCTTTCTGAGCCCATATGTCCCCTCCCCACAAGAGACAGAAAGAACACAGTTCAAGGGACCACTCACACCCAAGGCCAAGAATAATTGGTCTTTTCAAGGACCTCCATCTGCCCCATTTGCCACGTGCTTCTAATTCTTGGCCCCTCTTTATTCCTGGAGCTCTGAAGTGGGAGAGGAAAATGCCTACGCTCTGGTCATCCTCTCCCAGCCAACTGTTCCAAGAACTGAGACCTGCAAAGAACAGCAAGTCATGATTCTTGCTGGAAAAAGCAACTGGGAAGATAGGAAGCCAGCATATGAGAACCTCTTGATAGAGTCTAAACTTTATTTGCTTTAGGCTTTTAGAGGCAATCGAGGTTGTGGGAGGAGTTGCCGGCATGAACAAGAAAATGGAACTTAATCTGAGCCTTAGAAGCATGAAGGAGGGCCGCATTCCAAAGGGTTGGCTGCCTCAGAGAAACTCGGAAGGCTGAGATTGTTTTGGAGCACTTTGAGTTTTAAGGCTCCCCTCCAAGGCCGAGAGTGTGTCCTGGGTGAATCCAATAGTTTAAATAACACTAGGATCAGCCATGATGTCCACCCTGAAAAAGAAAATCCCAGAGAGCTTCTCGGCCACTGTCCATGGGTTAGAGGGCAAAGACGGTCACTGAACTTCTTCCCCTGTATTTCCTTTGACACTTTTTCATGCTGACCAGGGAGAAGCTAGGTGACCCTTTTCTGAAAAACTATACTGGGGCTATAAAATTATCTGTAAGTTTGTTTTGGACAGTAGAACCAAGAAAACAATGCAAACCAAAGAAAGAATATTTTCTTCCATCAAAATGAAGACCAACAGTGAATCTAAGCAATTTACTTACAATACATCCTTAGTCAATCTATGGAATGGAAAATACTTACAAGTCTTTTTTCAGTAACAGGCTGATATCCAGAATATGCAGAAAACTCATAATACTCAACAAGAACCACCTAATTTTGAAAATGGGCAAAATAACTTGAGTAGATAGTTCTTCATATTAGATATAGAAATAGCCAAGAGGTACAAGATAACTAACATCATTACTCACTAGAAAAAAGGCAAATCAAACCACCGTTGCATACTACCTCACCCCATTAGGGTGACTACTAGGCAAAGAAATCCAGAAAATAACTGGTGCTGGTGACGATTGTTGACTTTTCAACTGATATTGTAAAATCCTTCTGTACAGTTGGGTATGTTAAATGGTGGAATCATTATGGAAAACAATATGGAAATGGCTCAAATTAGTAAAAGCAGAATTGCCATGTAACTCAGCAATCCAACTTGTAGGTATACATCGAGCAGAATTAAATCAGGACCCTGATGAGATTTTTGCACACCCAGGTTCCCTACAGCATTATTTACAAAAGCCTAGAGATGTGAACAATCCAAATGTCCAACAGTGAAAGAATGAATACACAAACTGTTACCAAAAAATGGGAAATCATTCAGCCTTTACAAATAAAGCCTGTCACATACTACAACATGGATGAACCTGGAGGACACTGTGCTAAGTGAAACCAATCACTAAGAAAAATACAAGGTAATCTCACATGCGATATCCAAAATAGTCAAACAGAGGAGAATGATGGCTGCCAGAGGACTGGGAAAGGGAGAAATGAATTGTTTTGTGGGTACAGAGCTTTAGCTGGGCAAAACAAAAATTTGGGGGAACTTCCCCAACAATGTGAATAAACTTAATAGTGCTGAACTATACAATTAAAAAATGTTTAAGATAGTCAATTTTATGTTTACAATTATATTTTTAAAAATATTAAAAAGCACTAAATAAGCTGGGTGGATATCGTGGCTCACACCTGTAATCCCAGCAACTTGGGAGGCTGAGGCAGGAGGATCATGAGTTCACCCGGCCTCCGCAACTTACTGAGGTCCTAAGTACTTAGGGAGACCAGTCTCAAAAAACAAAAGGCTTGGAATATGACTCAGTGGTTAACTGACCCTGGGTTCAATCCCCAATCCCCCCCCCCAAAAAGTTGGATATTACTTTTGCATTGTGAAGTACATGATAAAATAACACATGACAGAGAAGCATATAAAAATCACAGCAAAATCCATTTCCCAATTCCTAGAGCCTACACTTCCCTGCTTCCTCCTCCCAACCTCTTCCCACTATGTCTCTACAGGACACATGAATCTATCACATCCTGTGTTGCTCCAGAGGTCTCCCAGGCAATTGTTCTCAGCAAGACCCACTGGCCATAGCCAAATCCCACACTACCTTGGCATTTTGAAGGCTGAAGTCAAAGACCAATGTTTGTTCTCCCCAAAACACAGACATGCATTTCTCATTGCCTCAAGAAGGCAAGAGAAAGAAAAGGTTACAACTAATCAGGCCCATAGAGGCAAACAGGTTTATGCAACCTGAAAAGCAAGCCCCAGCCAAAAGCTGCCAGGCTCTCCTCTATTAATCTCCATCCCCTGCCTGGAAAGAAATACCCCAAGGCAAGCTGCACAGACGCTTCGTTAAGGGGAACAGCTTGACCTTGGGTTTGCTGAAGTGCTCTGGGCATTGCTTGCTTTGCACATTTGGAGCTGGGACAGAGGAACATCATGAAGGCAAGCAGTCCTTACACCAGGATGCTGGGTGTCTGGATGGCCTAGGAGGGCCTGTGAGCAGAGGGTTCACCATCATCCTGCAGAGGCAGCTTAGCAACCTAGCAAGCCTGCCTCAAAATAAAAAGAGCCGGGGGTATAGCTCAGTGGCAGAGCACTCTCGGGTTCAATGCCCAGTACTGCAAATTAAATAAAAACAGTGCTAGAGTTTCCTGATGCCAGGGAGGAGAGATGCTCCTTAGAGAGCATCATTTCCCACAGGTGTTGAGAAAGTCCAACGACTGGAATAAGCTTGAAATAGGAGGGAGGAGGGTACACAGGGCAACGGGTACGGTAGCAAGTCATCATCACATTAAAGAAAACAAGACAAATTCAGTGGATCTCTGGAAGGTGTCTCAAGTCCAAAGGAAGGCAGTACATACACCATAACTGGAGCAAGGAAATGACAGTGGATAGTTCATGGCTTTATCCCAAGTTTCCACCAAATATTCATTATCTCCCAGATTAAAAAATGATGTCACTGACCTGAGAGAACATCAACAGTGTGTCTAGACTCAATCCACCTGTGTGTCTGTGGCCAAGTGGTTTTAATTTCCTGGGCATTCATCACATAACCCTCTGACCAGGAGAATGAGCCTGGAGCCAACCATGTGGATGCAAAAACTTCCTGGCAGACCAAGCTGCTGAGGAGTGAGTGCATGTGCACTTAGGGAAAGCTTGGAGGGGCTTTCCCAGCATCCAGTGGCCCAGGGAGACAGCTGGCTTAACCCTAACCCAGCTCATATTTCACTCTTTCTTCTGCCTGTAGGGTGCAAGTTCAGCACTGAGACATGGAGACCCATGCATAACTATTACTTTTCTCCAAGAGGAGAATGAATCATTTCATAATGCAGTTAGAAAAAGAAGAAAAAAAGGAAGCTCCTGAGATAGGACAAGGATTTATAAAAGGGAAAACACCATAGTATGTCTGGAAGGAAACAGTAAGTGTAGAAAAGTTCCCTGGAGTGCTCATCAGGGGCTGCATGCATGTGGCCTGTGTTGGGACCTGCTCTGTGAAGCTGTTGGATACTCGCCAAGGAGCCCACAGGCTGCTCCTGTATGAGGGAGACACACAGTCCAGGAGCTGACACTAGAACTAGGAGGTTGGGCCCTCTGGATTGTCACCCCAACTACTGACAACTGTACCTTTCAAACCACAAACCCTCCCTGCAATCTGTCTCTAAATCTCTTCTTTGGGCAGTCATGGGAGCTTAGGGAAAATAAATTCAATTGTAAAAATTTAACAAAAATAAGCACAAAATCCTAGCTTGCATAAGCCCAGCTGACAAATGCATACTCAGCAGGCCAAGGAGCTTAACTTCCAGAGGCTTCTTACCACTGGGCAGGCTGTCACTGGGAATTCCTGGGAAGGGAGCAATAGTCTATTTAAATTCAAGGCACTGTTAGGAAAACACACAATACAATAGAACTCAGGCGCAACATTTTACCTATCACTACAATCAAAGTCATAATTTTTTTTTTTTAACAGGCTATTAATGAGTTTGCAGGCTAATCTTTCTGAAAGCTTCAATAAAATTAAGATTCTTGCACAGGCAGATAAAGGGCATCAGGTTAGACAGTGAGGCCTGGGTTTCTTCAGGTCTTCCTTGGGAAGGTAACACTAAAGGTCAATGGCTTGTGAAATATAATGACCTGAAAATATTTGAGGTAGAATAAAACAGAATCAGTCACCAACATCTATATAGTAAGTTCCCAGACCGCGTAGGCCGTTTCGTGCTCTCAACAAGTGCAACTGGAAGTACTGAGCAAAAAGCAGGCGCTCCACTGGCCAGAAGGGGAAGGGGCCTGCCCATCACTCTGCTGAAACCCAGGAGGGTCTGTGAGAGGACGCATGCCCCCACCTCCCTCCTGAGGATCCTTCTCCACTCTTTGCCCCTCATCAGCCTCAAGGTTCTCTTCACACCTTGCTTCTTCCTCCCATTCCCAAAGGTGCCTCCCCAACTTCCCATATTCTACCAGGACTCCTCCCTTCAAGGATCCAGTTCAAACTCACCTTCTGGGTAAAGCTTTTCCTGACTAGGCAAACAAGTGTGCCCTCACTGGCCTTCAAGCTGCTAAGTGTCCAAATCTTCAAATGGATCATTCTACAATTCCTTCTGACACCTCTTGCATTACTTAGCTAGTGCACACAACTCTGAAGCCTATTCCCGAGGACTCTGCGAGGCCAGACATCAGGTTTCATTCTTCTTCCACCATACATGTGGCATCGTTCAAAATGAGAATCCCAATGATCAACAGCAAAATCAAATGTAATTGGGAGAGCAAAGGCATAGGAAAAAAGTTGCTTTAAGTGAGGATTCTCGACTCCAACCTCACCACAAGGCACGTCCCAGCTGAGTTTTGGTCCACTAAGCAGTGCTTTGCTAGAGCAGCGCTGTTCTGACGACGCTGCACTTCTATGGGTCTGGACTTCTATTTTAAGGCAGAAGCCATGACTTCTAGGATTTGCAGATCCAGGAGGATTTCATCTATTATTAGCTTAAAGAGAGCAGGATGCTGGTCAGAAGATAAGTGCAAGGAGGGTTGCAACCCCTTCACACAACTTCAAAGAATTATAGATGGGTCAGGAAAGAACCCCAGATACTGTGCCTCAGAACTTCATTGGAAGCTATAGAAACTAAAGACCAGAAAGGGACTGATCTATAGAGTGTCGTTCAGTTACTTGATGATGACACTGACACAGAAAGCCAATCCCCTGATGGCTCCTCAAGCACAACTTCCACCACACCATGCTGCCTGGTCCAGCAAGAACGCTCTCTGTAATTAACAGTCCTTTCAATTAGCCAGGTAGTCCACCAGGATGATCACCCAACAGCACTGGGCAAAATCACACCTTTAAAATCATCACTTTGGTGACATACTCAGTGAGGCTGAATGGCAGATTGAAATAAAACATGACTAACACACAAAACCTGACAGTAACTTACAGAATGATGATGGGCCACTCATGTCCCTCTCAGGGCCGCAGTTGACCAGCAGTAAAAATAGATGTATCATTTCAGAACAGGGGAGCTACTAGTGTTCTGTTTGTACTGGGGACTGAACCCAGGGGCGCTTAACCACTGAGCCATATCTCCAGCCCATTTTTATGTTTTATTTAGACACAGGGTCTCACTGGTTGCTGAGGCTGGCTTTGAACTATCGATCCTCCTCTGCCTCAGCCTCCCAAGACACTGGGATTACACGAGTATGCCACTGTGACCGACTGCTACTAGTGTTTTGATGAGGCCCATTTTTTCCTTGGGACTGCCTTCTATCTTGAAATACACTAATCATCCTTGGCCTCACACCAGTAGTGACTGTTCATCATGACAGACAAAAATGCTCTCACATATTTTAAGCTCCCCTAGTTGAGATCAGGAAGTTCTCAAGTCCCTTGCTAGCCCTTAAATACCAGCAAGAAGACCCTGGTGACCAGCAGGTGGAGCAAAAGCTGGGGGGGACAGGTGGCAGGCCTACCCATAGATGTCCAGGACCCCGATGAAGGAGTGCTGCTTGATGGAGGTGTGCAGGGCCTTGTTGATGTGCTCCACAATCCAGCCAAACAGCTGGGCGTAGATGTGTTTGGCCAGGGCATTGCGTGCATTGATGACCTGCTGCAGGGACATGGTCTTGACGTAGGTCTCTGAGGTGGTGACCAGCTTGCGATGGCACAGCCAGTGCTCCATCTGGTTGTGCTCCACCCCTAGCAGGCGGCAGAAGTTGCTCAGGTGTTCATCCTGGGGCTGGGGAGAGAACAAGCGGAAGAGACTTGTCAAAGACCGGGTCCCTTAGCCACATCCTCTCTCCTCCCCAGAAGGAAACCAAGTCCAATTGCAGCCCTCCCAGAACCCCATCTCCTCCCCATACACCACACCCCCACTAAGTTAGAGCCAGAATAGTGTTGCTCAAACTAATCATCACACTGGCTGAAGACCAAATTATCAGGACTTCAACTCCCTCCTGTCCCCTCCTCCACTGCCAAGGTGCTGCTGAGTAACCAGGAAGAGGGAACTGCCCGAGAGAAAGGAGCAGAAAGGGAATTCATAGTGCAGGAATGGATGACCCATCCAGAGTTGGGAGCCATCAGGCAGCAGGTGCACAATCAGCAGTTTACATCTGCAGGGGGCCAGGTGCAGAGCTAACCCACAGCTGGGAAAGCAGTTTTCTTCCTGCTCTTCAGAATTCTTTGCTTACAAGTGTCACATCAAACTAGCTGCATGTTCAAAATAACTCTTGGGCTCCTAAGGCTGGGGAGACCTTTTAAGGCACTCCTCTATACAAGGGTGAGGATGGCAGAGCATTGACCGCCTTCTGGGTGGGTAGAACACAGATCGGGAAGTTTAAACCCCCTTATTCCAAATTACACAAGATGCCAGTGGGTGTGTTCTGTCATGCTGGGCAAAAAAAACCAGCTAAAACCCAATGGACGACGTCCCTCCTGGTACTTATTCCCTGCCGTCCCTGTAGCCTTAGCCACAGTAATACCAATTCACATGCAACTCAACTCCACTTATATTCTCAAAGCATTTACTGCTGGGAAAGGTTAATGTGAGAAGTTAGATAACATGGTGAAGATGTGGAAGATTTGGACCTAATATCAGTTGAAACACTTTTACTGATAAAAATCACATGAGTTTGGAGCTAGAAAGATCCTGGAAATTTCTCCATTTTAAGTCTCTTTCCCATATAGATAAAAAGCTGAGCCCTGAAGAGTTGCAATTGCTTACCTGGGTCCTGCTGACCCAGAGCTCCTCTGCCCAATGTACCCACTAGGTACCCAGCTGCCTCCAACGGCCGAGTAGAGTCTTCTTCAGCAGTTACCAATCACACCACCTGGCATCTGAGCCACTGAATAACTCAAGTCCCCACAGTGTCTTGTCTCACGTCACAAAAAATATGTAAGTCTCTTGGATAATTCCCACTGTCCGCTCACAGAGCCCAACAGAAAGCCTGTCCTGGATTACTCTCTGCTTGGGAAAGCTGCAAACCTAGCATTGAGCCTGCTGGAGAGCTTAACAACTCTCAGGCTGGAAGGGAATCCCTTAGAACACCATATGCCCCCTCCTAATGGTCCTAAATTGAACATAGGACTCATTTTCTGATGAAGCCACCTTATAAAATTTAAAGAAGGGCTTGTTCAATGAAAATCAACATGGATAACTATCATCATTTTCCCCTTAACACACATCCTCAGGCCATTTTTCCCCTGCAGATATCTAAAGTCCATCTACCCAAAACAAATGTAAAATATAATGCCAGTAGAAAGAACCTCCCCAAATCATTACAACCCATGTTTTTCTGAAACAATTGCAAACAGCATTAATTGGCTTTACCCACATCAGGTTAAAGACAACTGAACTGGTTTGCTAAATGTACCTTGTGAACACTGAGAGCTTATTTACCAAAGAAACCATGTTCCCAGGAACCTTTGGAACTGCCATCCTGATCCAAGCCCCTTAATACTCAGATGAGGAAATTGAGGCTCAGCAAGGTTCCTGGACACCTGGCCACAGTGCCCACTTGGTGTGGGCTGGCTGGAGTGGACAGTCTTATACTTGCTCAGCAGTGGGGTGTCCTGCCACTTCCCTGGGCCAGCAGCCTTTTACCCTACAGCCTCCCCCTGCCAATATAAAGCCATATGGAGTTTAGTGCCTGAGGACTGTTTGGCAAGCAACAAGTTCATCTGTGGCAAATGTCCAATTTGTTCATCTGACCTATTTCCAAGAAATTCTTAATTGCTAGGGAATCCATCTGCAGTGCTGTGCCTAACATTTAAGAGGCCTGCCAGCAGCAAAAACAAGGACCAAGGCCTGCTCCCAGGTGCCCTCCCCCTTCCTGATGCTGCATGCTCTAAGTGCAGCAGTGGAGAGGAGCCACAGTTAAGGAATTCTGCTGTCCACCCAGGGACAGATGACCCACCCTGCAGTGAGCTGCCCTACTCACACCGGCTTCTGACTGCTGATTAAAGATGCTAACTGAAACTGATCTAACATCATGCCATTACACTTAGACATAATTAACTGATACTAAATCCATTAAAAATAGCCAGCATTATAGGTAACAGATTAGTTTTATGGGCCCATAGTGCCAAATTCAAGGAACAAATTGCCTCTGGTGTCCAAGTAATTGGATGTTGTTGGATCTCCAAGGTAACTGTGGCGATCATGGAACACATTCTCATGTTTTAATTAAAAATAAAAACTACCAAGCAGAAGGCACACTGCTTATGGGTAGACAACCTTTCCAACAGGAAGCCCACCCCATGGACCTGAGGAATAAGCCATCTCTGAGAGGCTACAAACACTTAACATGCATTTCTCAAGCTTGTACTCAGAGCCCTGCTTTGCTTAGCACCAATGGGAGCTGCCTGCAAGCAGAGGATAATCCCAGCTCAAAGGGCAAGACTGGCGGTGGTACAGGGGGAAGAACACAGTGGGGACCCTGTCCCAGCTGTGCCATTAACTGTCATTCTGGCCTTCGAGAGGTTCTCTCTGGGATTTAGATTCTCCTCTCCCATATGGTGAGAGGGATGCTCCCGAGATCCACTCTGGGTCTAACATCAAGAATGGTGACAGTCATGACCTCAATCCACAGGCTGAGAGCTGAGGCCTTTCCACACAGGGCTGTGTTTTATCCTCCTCCTCACACTGGGGTAGGTGGCATCATCTATACCTCCCAGGAGGCAAGAGACGCAGAGAGGCATGGCAATTTCCCGGAGTCCTGCATCTGGGAAGTGGCAGAAGCAGGATTTGAGTCTCGGCAGTATTGGCTCAAGTCACTGCCCTCACTGTCCTTTAGACACCCTCTACTTGCAGAGCCATCTGAGACAGTCTAGACTAACGGCCTGAGCTCACAAGCCTCCTGCCCCTCTGCCTGGTAAGAGAAGGGTTGCTATCCCCATCTGGGCTCCGATTTGCCTAAGTTCCTCCCACTTCACCACCTGCATCCTCTAACTCCTCTTCCACGTGTGCCCTGATGGTCCCACCTTGGCATGGACCTCATACAAACATTCTACAAGTGCCAATGCGACAGGCAGAGACCATAACAGATGTGGTTCTGAAGTTTAGTGGGGGTACAGGCATTGATCAATCACTAAGACATATTTTCCTTCTTCCCTGAAGGTCCTCAGAGGCCAGGTATGAAAAATAAGCTCAGCGACATTTAGGCTATCCATTCTAAGATGGCACGAACCAGACCCCACACCCTACTGCAGGTCCTCAGGAACTCCTGGCCTGGTTCTAATGCTTCACCATCAACCTCGCCAACATCTTTGCCCATCTCATGCATACTTTCTTTCATTTTCATCACCCTCAAGTCCTAGAGAACAATAATTCATCCAGTTGTCTACCTCTTGAGTGCCTACTGAGTCCCGGACACTGTGTTTATAAAAGATATTGAACAAGAGCAGTCTCTGCTTGCACAGAGTTTGGGGGTAGGGTGGGGCAGCAAATCAAAGAATCATGATAAATGCCAAATAGCCATGCTAAATGCCAGGGAGGAGAGGTACAGAGTGCTGAGAATCCTAAACAGGGGGTTGGGGCATCAGCTCAATGTCAAAGCACAGGCTCAGCATGCTTGAGACCCTGCATTTGATCCCCAGAACTGACCCAGTCCCTCCCCAGCCAAAAGAGTCCATCATGGGGGATGAGACAGAGAACTTTTTCAGTGGGCTGGAGGCTCAGGGAAACTTTGTCATATTTCTTGCATCTTACCAGCCTAAACCAGGAGCTTGTTAATGCTAAGATTCCTAATATTACCTGTCCCTGACACAAAACAGAGTATGCCTTTGTCTTAAGAATCTGTGGGGCATTTGCTGGGGTATGTGCGTAGGGGAGGCACAGATCCTCTATGCCTTTCTCGTTAAGAGAAAGACTTCATTGAACTATATTCAATGGCGCTATGGACTCAGTTTCGGGAGGGTCTGGCCTACACTAGAGACTCACCCACCACCCGTCAGGCACCCGTTTCTCTCCTAGCATCACTGTGCAAGCCCCAGGGTACCCCCATGTGCATACAAATAGGCACATAAATAACAGGGGTCAGAAACTGTTCTGGCTCACCTGATACGGTCAGCCCCAACATTCCTTCCTTTTCCACAGGCCCAAGTGGGGGCTCCAGAGTCTGTGGTGAGGATGGAAACAGACCCAGGGACCTTCTCGACCTAGGTAGGGCCAGTTTGATCTTCTGATAACCCTAAACCCCATATCTACAAGAGGTTAGTGAATGTCCACTCAATGGAAAAAGCAGCACCTTGAGAGTGGCCGTGGCACCTTTTGTCTTTCCCCAGCATTGCGTTATTTAAATCCTATGTCCTTGGAAATAAGACTCACACTTTGTATCTCTCTAGGACCTAGTCATAAATAGGCACAAAATAGGTAGAAATAGGTGCAGATTCATCTACTCAAAGTCAGAGCACCAGTTTTAGCCTAGGCCCTCATCACTAAATTCCAGACAGGACACAACAGTTGCCGTCTGTACCACCACACTGGGAACTGCTCCACCACCCACGTAGACAATGTATCTACCGCGTATCAGCCACTACATTGGGCACCAGGGCAAGAACCTTATCATGAGCCTTTGTGGAGTATTGCAGATTTGAGACATCTGTGGAAGTCCTGCAAAGTCTGCCTTATACTGGCATAATCCTGGCCAGTAAGGTCCCCTGTCCTGTATTTTCAGATAGACTGTAACTTCCTTTGAGGCAGTCACCAAGTATGGGACCCAATACTCTCATTTCCTTGTTGTAGCAAGCTCAGTCTGGAGCCCAGAAAGTACTCCATAGATTGATGACATGTTGTGGAATCCCATGTGCCTCAGAGTTGGTAAATCAACCCATCAAAAAGAATTTATTGAAGAGCCACTAAATTCCTTGCCCTCGCTGATAGACATTTGATAGTAGCTGATTTGAAATGGATTGGTTCTTTTAAAAAAAAATTATCAGTAAGTCAACAGAAATCATTCCTGTTAAGAATGAATAACCTAGGGGTGCCCTCTAAGTGCAGAAACACATTTCAGTCATATCGAACTGTAGGAATAAATTGTGTCCATTTTATCTCTGGTGCTGGGGTGCGACTTACTGATATGCTACAGGAATCACCATCCCGCTCAGCCTGAATCGCCACACTTCCCAGGTGCAGGATAGAAGCAATTATCTTAAAAATGCTTATCTGATGGGACTCTCTCACTCCTGCAAGAAAAAAAGTGAATGAATGACACTCAATATCCATGCTATGATACAAAGGACATTTTACCCTTTTTAAGGACTTAAAAAAAAATAATAATAAGGGTTGATTTTTTCCATCCTGGGCCAATGACTCCTAAAATGACCAGGCTGTGCACCATGTAATTACCACTCACAGTAACAGCACAGAGGGCAAAAGGGCTGCTGGACTGAAAGGAAAATATTCAACTTCGATTGTCCCAAGTAGACCAGATGGGTCATGCCACTATTTTTACTTCTCCAAGAGCGTACAAGAGGCAGCAATCACACAGACTCATTTTGGACTTCATTTCAACCAAGCACCTTATGGACATTTTTTATGAGTTTAATAAGAATGGTCATTTATCTGCAGTCATTTCTCCTTCAACATAATATCCTGCAAACATCTGTGACACATCCGCTGTGCCAATGGGGAAAGAAGAGTAGAAACAGTCCCTAAGGTGGCTGTTCCAGGGGATGCCCAGCCAGCTGGCTCACGGCCAGCTCAGATGGGGATGGTTGTTCTCCATGCTACGTATGCCCTCACAGTGACAGACATGCACGCCTAGCCCAGAACAATTGTGGCAGCAGAGAGGACTGTCAAATTTGTTGTTTACCCAAGTGAATTGTCAAAGGCATGGATAATCTCTTAAAATTTATGTTTAGCTTGAAGCCATTATCGTATCTCCTTAAATTACAATATATTTCAGATTTATAAGGAAAGACAACAGAAAGATAATGAAGATATCTGTAAACCTACCACTGGGTTTAGGAAGTAATAGTTATTGCCTCACATGCCTCTCTAGCTGCAGCTACTTATTTTCAGGAAATATTAAATAAAAAAAAAAAACGAAGTCAGTAATACCTATATAAACAGGATACACAGCCATGTCAAGCTACAATTACAAATTCTCCCAGATAATCTGTGAAGTGGACAACCCAAACATGAACTAGGCAAAGTGTACAGACAAAAAAGTCTCTTCTTAGTATGGGATACTCTAAATAAGCAGAATCTCACTGTGAGAAGCTGTGGCCCATGGTCTCTTTATAAAGTTTTATTAGAACATAGCCACACCCATTCACATTTTATCTGTGTCCATTTCTGTGTTACCACAGCAAAGAAGGAGGTATAACAAAAACCACCTGGCTTTTTCTTAAGAAGAAGCGTTCCAACCTCTGGAATTAAAAAGGTGGGGGACAGACACATTTTTAGAGTATTAATACTCTTATGAAAATAATTTCACAAGCACTATCTGCTTTGAGATTAAAGTATCCATCTTAGAGCCCTGGAGGGACTCACCCACTCCTACCAGCTCCTGTCCACTGCTTGCATTCACACTACAGAGGACCAATTGCTAGAGGCCTTCTCCTGTCTGTCCAACTGGCAGAATGCAGCCTGCTTGGGCTGGAAGTGTAATTCAGTGGCATAGCACTGCCCGGCATATGCAAGGCCCCGACACATGTTCTGTCCCCACACAAAAAAATAAATCCTTTCTCACATCAAGTGGTCAAGTGTCCTCCAAACCCCCCAGCCCTAGAGAAAAAGGCATGTGATGCTGTGGCAGTAGTGGGTGCCTCTCGGTATGTTCTCTTAGCTTCATATCCTCCCTCCTTGCCCTGCTGACACTGGGGCTGCCGTCCTGTGCCTGCTGAAGGAAGGCCAGGTGTGCTCCACAGAGAGCACCACAGTGATACATGAGGCCATGCATCAGGGAGGCATCTCCCTCCCTCTTTCTGGTCCTCCCTAGCTATGACTGTCATCTGGTGCCTGGCAACCTCCCTGCTGAGCTCCCACTGTGCCTCCCTCAACATTCAACCCTGCATTAAAAGCTCCTCAGTAGGCCAGGCCCCACCCCACTCCAGGACAAGTGCCCTGGCTTGTGGAGACTGCTGGCCTCCACCCTCCGGCAAGTTTCTTCACCAAAATCTTAGATGTCATCTAAAGCTCAGCCAAGGCTCAGGGCTCCTCTACTCAATAATTCCCACACTGGATGCCTCTCCTTGCCCTAGCCATAGCCTCTGTACCTACTACTTCTGGACCCTTAAAGTCCTCTTTTATCTCTTCATAGTTGTTAACCCTCTGCTGCTCTAGCCAACAAATGTTCATGTTCATTTTTCTCCATTGGAATAACCAGTGTGATTTCTATCTCCTGGTAAGGTTTGTCCTTGTACCCATGAACTATTTATGGGCTAGTTACACTGAGATGTGTCCGACATGGGGATTTCAGCACTCAAGGGCCTGGTTTCCTCCCTACATAGGGATGAGGCCATGCCTTGTTTTGCTACTGAATGAAACTTCCCTGACAACCACTACAGAACACAACAGACTGCACTGAGTTAGTCACGAGGCTCAGAAGCTGAATTCTCTATCAAGGAAGGGGCTGGGAACGACATGGGGCCATGCTGAGTCACATGCTGGTTTGGGGCTGAATTCTCAGGCTTTCCTTTTTGTGGCTGCAGGTCCCAGGAATTGAGCATGTCCATTTCCCAATTAAGAAAGGCTCACCTTCCACCTTGCTACCTGAGGTTCTTCAAAGAGTGGAGCTGCAACCTCTTCTAGCTCTACTGTCCCCTTCTGTCCCTGAAGGACAGATAGAACTTCTTGCCTTGAGAATCCCACTGCTAAGGTCTCTATGGAAACAGGTAACAAAACCAACACTGCAGGTGGGACAGAGCATCCAGGCTTTTACAGTCTGCTTCCAGCTCCAATTCCATGACTGTGGCACACAGGTAATTTGGCCCAGTGTTCTTCCTGCTAGAACACACTGCCTCTGAACCCAGACACTGCACAGAAGGCACGGCCACACTGAGCTTTCCTTTGTTGGTGTCAATGGCCCAGCGAGTGAAGCAGGATAGACCATAGTGCCTGGAAGAGATTTTCAAAACCTTGCTTTTTTTCTCCTCTCTTAGAGGCAGGCGGACAGGGAGATTGCCCACAGGGGCAGTCTATCACTGAGCTACATCCCTACCCAATTTTTGAGACAGGGTATCTATATGTAACCCAGGTTAGCCTTGAACTTGTGATTCTACCTCATCTTCCTGACTAGCTAGAATTACAGGTGGGTACCACTGCACCTGGCTCAAAACCTTTTCTTCTTTTAGTACTGGGGACTGAACCCTCAGTGCCTTAGCACTGAGTAGATCCTAGTTCTTTTTAAGACAAGGGGTATACTTGTTAAGTTGCTGAGGGTTCCGTTAAATTACTGGTCTTGGCCTTGCAATCATTCTGCCTCCCAAGGAAATGGGATTACAGGCATGCACCACTGTGCCCACCACCTGTCCAGCTCAATTTTTTTTGGTTTTGTTTTAGAGGTGAGCCAACAAAGCTCCAAATTTTAAGCTTTGGAACCCAAGGGTTGGGATGAGAAAGGGTGAGATGCCATTTACCAAGGGCATGAAGGCTTCCCCCGTGTTAGCTCATGAAGACTGGAAAGGCATGTGGACACCACGGTGCCACCCCTCCATATGATCACCCTCCAGGCCCATTTCTCACACTGGAAGCTCCTTACCGAGAAGTGTGAAGGCTTGCCGAGTCTTCTCAAAGTCCTCTGCATCATCTACACCCTCAATGGCTGTGTCTCCCCCCTGGGATGTATAGAAAAAGTCCTCTGCACATGCTGTGGAGGCAAGGAAGTCAAGAGTCAAACACTGCAGAGACCTTCACCCTGAGTCACCTGCAGATCATGACCCACAAGGAGTTCTATTTCCCAAGCATGCTATTCCAGACCAAATTTTAGTTCCAGCCAGTTGTGAAACCCTTTGAAGTATTCTTCATCCATAATGGCAAATCAGAGAAAACTGAATAATAAACAAAAATTACATTACTCTGCCAGAATGTGCTACCGTATTTATATAAAACTGGTGCGGGAAAAACATGTTAATACAAAAGATAGATTATGCAAAGTTCAGCTTAATGGGATCTTGCCCAGATTTATTTTTAAGACAGACCTGAAATATATAAGTAAAATGCATAGTTAGAATCACCTCCTAGGTCACAGACTTCCATGACCCTAGATAATCTTTGCTTGAACACTTCATTTAACACGAGGGGCTGTGATGTGCGTCAGGTGACCTGGTTTTCCTGTTCATTTGTTGGGCAAGGTCAGGGCACACTTGAGCTGTTCAGGCACTTGAGCAAGTGCAGGCCGAGATCCTCAGGGGTTTGTTCTCATTCCCCAGCTTAACGCTGTGTCAGGCCTCTGAGGAAGCCTTGGAACAGCTGGTAAAGAGGGGTCCGTGTTGTCTTACGAGTCTCAGCCAAGCTTAGCGGGGGACAAAAATGCAACAAGCCTCGGGTAAGACCTGCACTACAAGTAGGATGGTAAAAGCAGCTTAAATAAGGGAACTGGCCACGGAAGTCATTTAGAGTAACAATTGCTTGCTATCAAACTTACCCTCAAAAATCACTTGCCTTTCATAAAGTACCCTGTGTGGTGTCACTCTGCCTGGTACTTCATGTTCTGAGTACATAATGTCCGATTCTGACAGGATGCCCAATCTGTACATGGGCTGGTTTTCCTCCTCCCTGAAAACCCCAGTTCAATTCTTTTCCCTTGACCCAAGCATGCACGGTTGAACGCTTATCAGCTGAGCGTGCTTAGCTGCAGCTTCACAGCAGCTCCCAGTCCTCCTGCAACACCTCGTCCTTCTGATTTATCCCCCAAGAACTTCTACAGAATTTTCCTCTCTGCAGACTGCCATTGTCCTGGGTCTGACCTTCAGCATCTGTTGTCTGGGGACTGTTGCAAAAGACTAAACCCAACTCCTTGCTTCTGCTCATGTCCTTCCAAACGCACCTCCAAAATGTTGATAATGTCAGTCACACTGCTCCCCTGTTTGAAGCCCCTTAGAGATCAATAGCAAAAATTATTAGCCTAGAACCTTCTCTTAGACCTTCCAAGACATGGCTACAGCCTACTGCTCCCAACTCCCAACTTCAGTTTCCTGTCCCTGATCAACTCTTCCTTCTGTCCATGCCATCAGTGGTCCCTACCTACCTTTCTTGTCTCACCCCATTCCCTCATGTTCCTAGAGAGCACCCTCTGTCCTAAGCCACAATAAACTTTAAAAACTCCTTTGGTCCATTAAGCAAACACTGCCAAGCTCAGCTAGAGAGCAGAACTCAGCCCTAAACCCCAGTTTGACAACACAACCTGAGCTGTAACCATCAAGCTCCACTGCCTACAGGGATGAACAGAGTTGTGTTGCAGTGGTAAGGCAGGAGAGACAGCTTTCTGGAGGAGTAACTTAACACACTGATGATTCAGTCCAAGGAGTTTGAACTGGAGGAGGAAGGATAACAGCTCTTCCTCACAGCTTCAGGAGAAGTGAATTTTTAAGAATTCTCTTTGCTGAAATCAGCATAGTTCTTTTTCACAGCTAACCACTCTGGGAGCTCTGGCATGGCAGTTTCCAAGGCTTTCTAAATCAATTCTTTCTTCCCCTTTGTATTCACTCTTCAAGATGTTTCATCTGATGATTTCTGCGGGGCCTACCTGAAAACCACTTTAACTCCCACCATTGCAGATAAGCAAACTGAAGAACATAGGGCTTTAAGGGCTGCACACTCTCTCCAGAGATTGTCCGGGCCTGGGAGCCCATTAACTGATTACCCAATTGTAGAAATGATCATTTTTCTGGACTGGGGTTGTGGCTCAATGGTAGAGTGCTCGCCTAGCATGCATAAAGCACTGGGTTTAATCCTCAGCACCACATAAAGATATTGTGTCTACCTAAAACTAAAAAGTAAATATTTAAAAAAAAAAAAGAAATGATCATTTATCTTTGTCATTCTATGATTGTCATGAACACAGCCTAACTCATTGTTATGGTTTAGCTGTGAGGTAAGCTTCAAAAGCTCCTATGAGACAATGCAAAATGTTCAGCGATGAAATTATTTGATTATGAGAGGCACAACCTAATCAGAGGGTTAATCTGCCAAGGATTAACTGGGCAGTAACTGTAGGCAGGTAGGGCGTGGCTGGACATGAGTCACTGGGGATATATCTTAGGGGTTTATGTTTTGTCATGAGTGGAGCCGTTTCCTGGTGGCCATATCCTTAGCTGCTTCCTCCATAACACCCTTCAGCCATAAAGTTCTGCCTCATCTTGGGCCCACAGTTATGGTATTGGCTGATCACAGACTGAATTGCTGAAAACCGAGCCAAAATAAGCTTTTCCTCCTCTCAGTTGCTCTTACTGGGTCTTTTGGTCACAGCAACAAAACCACTAATTAAAGCGGTCATTATCAAGTGTCAGCTGAACATAGTCACCCAACTCCACTTTCGTATTGGAGAGAATGCATTTTCAGCACCTTTTCCCAAGACCCTTCATTGTCAACACCCAGGGCCTTGCTGCCTGATGTTCTAAGACAGAACACCCACGGGTCCTGCCTGCTCCCGGTTCCCAAACTCAGGCCCAGCTGAGTAACTTATTCAGAGTTAGGCTTACAGCTGCAGGGACTACTGGCATTCTCTGAATCCAAACTGAGTGACTGTCTCCTCTCCCTCAGCTTTAAGGTCTGTTGTAGCCTCTGAAGATCATGCTCTAGAGCCTCTCATTAAGAACCATCCAAACAAGAGGCAGTCTTCCCAGCCTGCCTGGATCTCAGCTCTCCTTTCAGGACCCTGAAGCCAGCACCTTCTCTTATCCTCTGGTCTCTTTAAGAAGAATCACCAAGGAGAAACATACCTCAGATCTATTAACTGGCTCAATACGCAGACGTTGGACCAGGTAGTGGGCACACCACAAAGTAGAAATTAATCAAGCCTTTCAAGGCCAAGGCCACCAGCTTGCACTGCAAATGGGATGCAAGGTTTTGACCTGTGCAAGGCTGAAGACGTTATTAATAAAACTGCATCAGTACACTTACAGAAGTAACCAAGAAAAGGAAATTATTTCTTAAACATCTGAAGGATGAACTCAAGGGAAAATGGGTCCTTCACACCTGTACGAGATTTACTGTCATTTATTCACTATCATTGTACTTCTAAAAAATCATTGTACTTCATTGTACTTTCACTCCATGATGCAAGAGACTGGGCAGTTTTCAAGTGTCTCAGCTGGGAACCCAAGGAATCTGCACATTGCACAGATATACAAGGAAAAGCCATTTTAAGCTCAAGTATAAATCACGTAAGTGAAATTTTTTTTTAGAATGATTTCTTTCCTATTCAAGTTACATTTGTGACCAAAATGGTCCCAATAATATCAAGTGGATCATGTCAGTATTTATTCATTATAAAATTGACCAGAGGGGAAAATATACCTCATGTCTTGCAGACTGGCCTTGAAAAGCTCTTCTGGGCTCTTGCCCCGTTCTGGGAAGGAAAAAGACAATGGCAGTAGCCACAGTGTGAATGCCTACCTGGCCACTTGTCACTGAGCTGCCACCAGAGCCTAAAGGTGGCAGGTCAGGGCAGTGCTCATACAAGGACTGCTCAGCACCACCCTGCTTGAAAGGCAATGCACTCTCCTTGTCCTCAGAGGTGATAATATCCCCGGGAGAATCAAACTTGTGAAGAATTAAAGGACAAACCAACACAGTGGATGTCACTACAGCTTCCTCCCTAGGTTCTAAAACATGGCTTCACAGGGAAATTTGGCCTGCCCCAACTATGCTTCCTGCAGCATAGCCCTCACTACCTGGTATTGTAGTTGACAAGCTAAGTGAAAGTAGGACCCACAACTGTTTAATATTACGTCACCAGCATCTAACATGGTCTGAGTAGTTTGATGAATGGATGCTAAGTTGCACGACACATGCAAGTGCTACAAGAATTTAAGAAGCAGAGTTGAGAGAGCAAACCAATATTGGAGCCTTTGGATAGATTTTAGCAACTGGGAGCACAGATGGGTCTGGTGCTAGATCCTTAGGATGGCTTGGATTAGGATCAGAGATTGCAAAGTCTCATTAGTCTTGTTCTCACAGCTGTGGAGACTAACCAGCCTCTTCCTAGATACCCAGCTCTTCACGTCATCCGATAGTGCTTCACTTTCCCCACAAGCTCCTGAAGTACAGACAGCAGGCCAGGGACAGGATACTGCTGAGCCCTGGGCCCGCCCTTATCCCACACATGGGCTCCAAGGACTTAGCTACAGAATAGGTCAATATCCCATGATACACAATGCTCCCCAGACCAGAGGAGTGCGGGTAGAGGCTCTAGGTCCAAGGAGAGATGGTATGTGGTACAGAATCAAGAACTAAAGCTACTCACCTGTTATGGTTTGGATGTGAGGTAGCCTACCCACCTGTTATGGTTTGGATGTGAGGTGTCCTCCTAAGGGTCACTTGTGAGAATGCAAGAAGGTTTGGAGGAGAAATAATTGGGTTGTGAGTCTTAACCCAATCAGTGAATTAATCCCGATAGAGATTAACTGAAGGCAGATAGGGTGTGTCTGGAGGAGGTGGGAATTGGGGGCACAGCTTTGGGGTATGTATTTGTGTCCAGCAAGTGGAGTGTCTGCTTCCTCATTATCATGTGAGCTGCTTCCCTCTGCCACACTTCCTCCATGATGTTCAGCCTCACCCTGAGCTCCAAGGAATGGAGCCTGCTGTTTATGGATAGAGACCTCTGAAACGGTGAGGCCCAAATAAACATTTCTCCTCTGTAATTGTGCTTCTCAGGTCTTTTAGCCACAGCAGGGGGGAAATATGACTAAAACACCTCCACTACTCTAGCTCCACGTCAGCCAACTCAAAGCAAATGAAACTTGCCAATACATTCATCAGTGGAAGCCAAGGATGGACCCATCCATCTGATGGTGACATTTGGGGACTCATGCATTGGCTCCAGTAGAGCGGTCACTTTTGTTAGTCACTCCATTATCCCTCCAGTGCTCCAAAGCAGGGGTTCCAGAAGCTTCCGGGTCTGCTTAAATGGGATCAGACCACGTGGCAGCACTGTCTCATTCATCTGAGCCCCCCCCCCCCCCATAAATCTGTGGCAATACCCCTGCCTCTGCCTTATGACTAGAGCCATTCCCATTGTCTTTTTCTCACTCCCCATCCCCTAGCAGTACTGGGGATTAAACCCAAGACCTCAAGTGTGCTAGGCAAGCTACCCCTAAGCTGCACCCTCAGCCCTTTGCATTTTTAATCTTGAGATAGTATCCAAGTGGCCCAGGCTGGCATCAGACTTGGGATCCTCTTGCCTCAGCCTCCCCAGTAGCTGGCATCATAGGTGTGCCCACCACACCTGGCTTATATCCATCCCCACTTTATCCTCACCCTTCCCTGTGTTTCAATCCTAAAACTTAATCCTAAAACATGTTAGCCCTGAGCAAATGATCTGCATCATCCAAATCTACATCTTTACGGAAGGCACACACATCTCATGATGCTTAGAGTAAAACCACATTTCAAAATAATGACACATGCACAGTCTTTCATGCCATGCAAAACATGCTGCCAACCCTGCCTCTTATTCCTTCACACGATTTCTGCTGAAGATAGTAAAATAGTATTGATTGTATCCAGTCTAATTGGGTGGGGAGGTTCTGAAAGGTTTAAGGGAGTCATTCCGAGTGGTTTGGGCATTCCAGATGGCCTGGAATCGACAAAGAACAAACAACTCTGTCTCAGGACAGAGCTCAGACAGGAACCCGTATCAGAGGACTCTGAGCAGAGCATCCAGGCCCCCGCAGAGCCTCTACGCTGTTCCAGTGGTTGTCGCCCACCCTGAGCACAGCATACACCTGCTGACTTACTTAGTGCAAGCTCTTTAAATTCTGGGAGACTGGCGGCAGCACAGAGCTGGTAGAAGATGTGGTAATTCCTCTCATCATCTGCCTGGAGGAGGAAAAGGTGAATGAGTTTTAAGGCCAAGACTCCAAGATCACCCTCTCATCTATTCTGAGCCCAGATGCTCCAGGTGGTGGGAACTGAACCCACCACCTTCTAGGTTTTCCATAGCCTTCCACCTTCAAGTCCCACTGCCAGATTTTCCATGTGCTATGGGTTCTCCTAAACTGATGAGTTTTACCTCTTGACTTACACAAAAGCATGCATTTTCTTTTTCCTTCTGTACAAGACATCATTGTTATTCCGCAAATGGAGAGTCAGTCAATCAGCAGATATGTAGTCTTCTGTGCTGCTTGACTAATGCTCCAGGGCTTATAATTTCCTTGCTGTAAACTTTCTCCTCTGGGAAGCTTGGAGCTTAGTGAAAGTTGTGCTGGCCCACTGAGTCAGAGCAGTTAGGAAAGGTCCACAACTGAGAAGGGACTTCTGGTGGACACTTGAAGCCAGAATGGCTTAAATTGGCCAAGTGACGGTGGTGAGCAAAAGGAAAGCTCAGGAAGGGGTGCCAGGGAGAGGCCGCAGAGCACCCTGGACTGCACTCAGCAGAGGCCAGCCCCTGCACTACAGAAGTGAGAATGTGGGGCTGGGAAACCAACCAGGAGGTACCAAGGACAGCCAGGCAAAAAGGGGAGAGGAGAGCTTGTTTGAATTCATTAGGTGTTTGCTAAAAATCAGCATGGAGCTAAGACAAACAGCTGAAGGGATCGGATTCTGAAGCCTTCCAATGTCTCCTCTGAAGGTAGCCAAAATGTGAGCACCAGGAAGCCACTTCACCCAGGGGAGCAGCGTGCCAGCCTCAGGACATGCACTGTCACTTTGGTTCAGTGATGAGGACAAAAGGGAGCTGCAAGAGGGCTGTGGATGGGGTTGTGAGCTGAACCGCGTGCTGCCAGGGGAGGGCAGTCACCTAGAGGCACGGCCCAGTTGGCAGGAGGAAATGGAAGGTAAGCTGAGAGCAATCAAGCCTGGGAAGAAGTGAGAACTCCACTCACTTATTGAAAAGTAAGCCAAGTAGCCAAATGTGAAAACAGATACACTTTCAACCTACTAAGGTTCATGTGAAAGCTCAAATCACAGACTGTACATATGATAGTCCCTGATCATTAGACTGAAAATCCACAAGGAAACAGATTTTATTCTCGACTGCATCTTTGGGGTCTAGCACAGGTCTGACACATTAAAGGCCCTCAATTTGTTGGTTGAATCAAAAAGCAATGCAAGGTAAAGGACTTTGAGGCCAAATTTCTGTTTCATTTGAAATGAATACCATCAACAAAAGGAAAGCAGAAGACCAAGAACATCCAAATCCAGGCTCAAAAGATGAGCTGCTCTTTGGGCACGGGGAGTGGGGCAGGCAGCATCAAGTGAGGGGCAAAAATACAACAGGCCCCAGTCCCTCACTCACCTGAAAGACGACTCTGGACTTCTCCAACAGGTAGGTCCTCATGTTGGCCCCAATGATGTGGTACCTTTTGTCAAAGCCGATCTGAATGTACTTTCCAAAGCGGCTGCTGTTGTCATTCCGAGTGGTTTTGGCATTCCCGATGGCCTGGAATCAACAAAGAACAAAGGGGTTGTGCAAAAAATGAAGCCTTTCCTCATTTCAGGCTGGATATTTGTAACAGGGTCTATCTCCTTTCCCTCCCTCAACTTTTGCAATGACAAGGAACCAAGTTAAAAATTGCGTTCGACTTAAATTTAATTTCCAGCCTCCTTCACTCCTAAGGATGGCCAGTGACAGTCATGAGTTTATTAGTGAGCTCTTTATAAGAGATTAACCAGCAGGGAGGTGCACCCCATTGTCCCCGTCTTCCTCCTCCTCCAGCCTAAAGTACACATGCAATGGCTGTAGCTATAGCATTCATCATGGGACCTAGAGCCAGATCTCAGCTGACATCCTTTAGCCACTAAACCAATGGTAGTGCCCATTAGCTCTGAACTTTCTGGGAGAGAAACAAACCTTCCCAGGTTTCATCCACTTTGATCAGATCTCCAAGTATTGTTATTCCCAACCGACAAGTGGTATTTCCTAGGAATGGACCAGTTGACACATCTCATTACTAGGACCAGTCAGGAAGTCACCATCTCAGTATCACTTCTTATGCAGCAGCGGGGACATTCAAAACACTGGATGACTTTTAAAATCAGTAGCTACACAACTGGTCTCATCAGTATAAGCTTTCCATAAAACATCCCACTACTAATGTATTGGTAAAAAAAAAAAATGTTAGCATTTTAATCCCTTTCATATGTTTACATTCCTACAGTTTAAAAAAAAAAAAAAACATCTTTAGAAATACCCACTAGCTTTTTAGCAGTCTAGGAACAATGAGGCATAAAGACATTGAAAGAGAAGCTGAAACCCCAACCCATCTTCCACCTGGGCCTAGCTGAATTGAAGCAACAGAACTACCATCATCTCCTGACAGCCCCAAGCCCATAATGCTCAGCTGGCATGCATTTACAAGGCTAGCAAACAGCTAGAAGCTAGCGCTTCAGAGGTCAAGAAGTTGACCTCAACTAATACTGATAAAAAATAAAATAAAAATACCCCACCAAGCCTCCAGGAGGAAAACTATTGCCATTCCTACCTGTAGGTGAGCATAGCTTACTGTGCCTCAGCTGAGTCACATGACTCCCTAGGGAAGCAGCTCAGCCTGGGCCAGGCCTGGCCTGCTCTGCCTACCTTCCTGCCCTCTCTAATTACGTCCAACATGCTGTCACAAATGGTGGAGCATCTCTTCCTGCTTCTGTCCACTGCCAAGGCCCACATCACCATTGTCTCTTTCTTGGACAACTTCAGTGTTCTCTCAACAGGTCTCCCTGCTCCTGCATCCTGCTGCCAATTCTCCACTTGACTGCCAGGGCCATCCTTCTGAAATGTGAACCTGGTTGTATTCCCTGTGTGAAATGCTTCAACGGCCTCTTCTGCCCTGAAACAGTCTTCAGTCCTCATCCTGACTCATGTGCCAGGCCGGATCCACCCAGCCCTGCCAGAGTCCTCACCTAACAGTCCTGAATGCCTCCTTTCTCAGTGGCACCCACGTGCACTCTGCCCTCACCCAAGTTTCTCACACACAGTCCCCTCTGCTGGCAGCTTTCTTCCCAGAGCTCGCTGCACCTACCTGGCTCCTCCTCTTCCCTCAGGTCTCAACCTTATGACGGGCAGGACTTCCCGGACCCCACAGGCTAGGGAGGGCCTCCTGCCACATGCTCTCCCAGGCCCTGCATGTCCCCTTTCCCTCCCTTGCCCATGCCCTACCCATCCTGCTTCAGCAGGGTTCTCTAGCACCTGCATGTGGTAGGCACTCAAACATTTGAGTGAATGAAACTATAAATGAACTTTGGTTTTTCTATTTTGAAATGAGAATTTTGGACTCCTCGTCTTTTCTGGCCACCTGCCATTTTAGAATCCTACAACTTCCAGTTTAGGTTGTGAATATAGTTTTTCTGTTAGGGTTTAAAGTATGTAATGCAGCCTACACTCCACATATACACTTCCCCTGCAGGGAAGTGGAGTTAAGTACAACCCTGTGTGCTGAATGACTTTGTAAGGCATCTCTTTACTGGACCCAAGGTCTGGGGACAGCTAGACCTCATGAGGCAGACAGGAGACCCCCAAAGATGCTTCTGAGTTTATATAGTAAACTTCATGTCTGTAATCTTGTAAGCCAACCAAAGGAGACAGGCATTTGTGCCCTTAGCACCCATCAACCTCACCACCTCAGCAGAGATCTCAGAGTACCCACTTCCCCTCCAGAGGTCAGACCCTTCAGGACTCACAGGACAAGGGCTGTTACATTTAAGCAAGCCAGTTTCATTTGGATGTTGGAAAGGCAAGCTACATTCCCAAAAATATTGATAAAAGCATTCCCAGGCTTCCAACACGAGCTAGTCCTTGGGTTGGATGCCTTATTTAATTCTGACACGAACCCTATGAGATAGGCATTATAACCTTTCACCTCACTCAGGGAGAAAAAAATCTCAAGAAGGTCAAGGAATGTGTCAAGGTTTGCATGGCTGCAAAATGGCCATGCCAAGACATTAGCTCAGACATGCCCAGGTCTGAAGTCCGTGTTCCTTCTATGTGAAGTCACAGTTCTCCAGCTCTCCACCACTCAGGAAGCAGCCATGCACATGGGCAACTTCTCACAGCTCAAATGGCTGTGTTGCATCAAAAGTAAATATATAAATACTTATTAGATGATGCTGGGAGTTATGGATTCATTACTCTCAAATTAGTCAATAAGGAATTGAACATCTGCTTTAGCTGTCCTATGCAACCTGCGTCTCAGGGTAACTAAATGGTTGGTGAGGGGAAGCTCCTTTTATAGGTTTGTTCCAGCTAACAAATGCATAAAGAATAACAGTAAGAATATCACCATCTTACAATGTAATGAATTAATAGATCTAGGCATAACCAATGACTGCTGACGGAAGCCCTTAGCGGGGGCCCACAAGACTGCCTGAGTAAGGTTTCTTATTTTAAAAAAAGAAAAAAAATCAACACATCTAAATTTTACTATGCTTTTACAGGAAACACAGGGGACAAAGGAACATGTGGAACAATTATGAGGATGCAATCAACAAAGACCCGTTTGTGGAAAACTCTAAAGGATAATCCAGTTTCAACAAGTTCCAACTTCAAACATTTAGTTTCAAAAAGTTCAAACATCTTAATTTGTAAAAAGGCAGTAAGTAAATCTCACTATGTCTGAGATCATTCCTTGCAACAACTTAGGAAAACCTCACCCAGGGTCTAAAGATCACTGCCCAAAGGTCCGTCTTCTTCCCTCACTAGGCTGCTTCACAAAGTGACTTGGTGGATCTGAGTACTAGAACAATCATTCTGCAAGATAACTGGGCCCATCTACTAAAAGGGCCCATAGAAGCATATGACAATCCAGCAATTCTATGTTTAGATAACCCCTAGACAAATTCTCAAATGGGCATACAAGTGTGTTATGCTATTTAACAATAAAAAATGCAACCTTAATGTCCACCAGGTGAAAACAAATGTGGCAGAGTCATATAAAGAGACACTATAAGGCTGTTAAATAAACTACAGCACACAGTTCATGGATAAACGATGTTGACGAAAGCGCAAGTTGCGAAACAGTTGATGGAACAGGATACCATTTACATAGCATCAAAAAACTATTGTGTATGTATACACAAATACATAGTAAAACACAAATGGACTGAAATGATTTCAATATAATTGAATTGTACAATCAAGAGACATATCAAGTACTAGGGAAACAATGGAGCAGTTAGCCATGCCCAGTGGAACAGGAAAGGCCTGTTTGGAAAAAAATTGAAGTGAATCTTGGAATAGAATTCTATCAGCAGGGAAGAGAAAGGACAAAGGGACAGGGTGAGAGACTGGACAGATGTAGAGGGGCTAGAGTTTGCAGATGCATGGAGAACATTAGAGGATGTGAGACGGGTAAGGTACACAGGGGCCAGGCTCTTATATGAATGGGCTAATAGCTGCAGGCTTTCTTTTTAAAAGGAAAAAAAAAAAAACCTTGAAAGTTTATCTGGTCTTAGTTTTTATCATTTTTGTTCACTATACTCTTGGTCCCTTTCATCTGCAAGGGGATTTCTCTGTGGCTGTTGGACTTACATGCCTACAGACTGCTGTCATCCTAAAAAGCCATGTGACCCTCTATCCTAGATGTGGGTTCTGTCCCTGCTCCTATAGTCTCTTGATTAGCAATACTCTTTCAATCAGTGCAGACTTGTGAACAAATTACTCCTGGGAGGCTGACAAGCCTTTAAACAGAATGGGGTCAGAGAGCACCAGTGCTGACAATAAATCATCCCAATCTGTCCCAGCCAATCCCAATCCGTCCTCCAGCAACCTTAATTCCAACAGCTGCCACTTAGCTGGCCCACTGGGAATTCTGCCCTTGGCTCTCCTCTCCCCAGGAGACCTCTGCAGTTCTGGGCTGCTGCAGAAGCAAGGAGATGATGACATAACCACAACTGATTACTTCGTGGGGGAGGTGTCACCCTTCCCTGGAACAGGGGCAGAGTAATCAGCTGTCCCTGATTAAGACATGCCTGTGGTGGTTACAACCCTCTGAGGAGCTACAGCTGATGGGGCTTCCTGATCCAAGGACAGGCTTGACTCGAATCTTCTAAAAAGTTATGTTTGCAGACTTCGGCAATGCAAAACTCAGTTCACTGCCTGGGCACACTTTTAATTCCACTCAGGGTTCTTACCAGCTATACATCTTCCTCTTCATGTCCAGTCCAAACTCTCTCTCAAAGATATCAGTGAGTAACAGCTCAAGGGACAGTTTCCATGATGGCAAAATTCTACATCTGGTGTAAAGAGCCCTCAGGATTTACCCAAGTCATTTCCAAAGTACCAGTTTGGACATGGAAAAAAAAAATTAACGAACCAATGTTTTATGAATTTACATGATGGTGTAAAGATTAGGCTGGTTCTTGTATATACACCTTCAATCACAGCAAATGAACCACATCTTGTGTATTGGGGGTGCACAAGTGGCTTTTCCATTTTCTCCCATGCCAAAGCCCTCTGCTTCCCCCAACCAACCTACTCAGGCCCAAATGGAATACTGCAAACTTGATATTTCTGACCACTGGTATTTTAAAAGTATTCCCAAAGTAGAGTTTCAGAACAGATATTTGCATACCCGTGTCTACCTAGAGCAGCATTGTTCACAACAGCCAAAAGGCAGGAACAATGCAAAGGTCCATCAGGAGAGGAATGGATAAATGTGATGTCCACTCAATGAAGTATCATTCAGCAATAAAAAAGAACAATACTGATAAATGGTAGACCACGGATGAACCTTGAAAACATTGTGCTAAGTGAAATGAGCCAGACACAAAAGGACAAACATTACATGGTTCCATTTGTGCGAGGTCCCTAGAATAGTCAAATTTACAGGACCTAAAGTTGGAGACAGGTTATCAGGGACTGAAGGAAGAATGGAAATTTGTTATTTTACCACAATAAATTTTCTGAACATTGTGTTTTGTTTAGTACAATATTGTGATTACTGATTTCCCAGCATGACTAGCAATTGTTCAGTCACCAGGCACTGAAGATTTCTTCCCTTCTGTTTTGCCCAGCATTACTATTACTTCTATCTTTAAAAGTGGTCTGTCTCTGCAATCTTACTGCCTAAAACATAAAGTAAATTTTAAAACTCCAGGACAAAACAACAACAACAAAACTTTCTCTTATTTGAGCTTATACACAATGATTACTATAGAGTGCTGTCTTAGTTGCCTTAACAAAGAGATCTGATCTCAGGGAGGCCAACTCCATGATTTACAAATGCCTTCAGAATTGGGGCCGTGGCCAGGCCCTGACCTTGGAGCTTAGAATAAGCACTGAGTGAACAGGCTACCAACCAACTAAATATCAGACAATAGAGAGTTAAATTATGGAAAAGCTATTAGTTAATCCATGTTGACAGCCAATAAGACTTCATGCAGTCTAATGATATGCAGACAAGGCTTACACTATAACATTCAGTAAGAAGGCTGGAAGGATAGATGCCCAAACACTGGATGATTCCTAGCAGGCTGGAATATTACAGGGGATTTTTCACTCATTTCCATTTTCCAGGGATCCCTTCACAATATTTTAGTAGGTCAGTGGTTCTACAATGTGATACCCAAACCATCTGCGTGAGTATCACCTATGAACTTGTAAGAAATGCAAATGATCGCCGAGCCCCTCCCCCACCCTTCAGAATCAAACTTGATGTGTTGGGTTCAGCAACCTGAGCTTTAATAAGCCTCACAGCAATTCTTATGCATCCTCCAGTTTAAGAATTGTAACAAATAGGAGTTTCCATTTTCACATGTCTGATTAAAAAAAAAAAGCATCTTCAACTATATTGACCATTTCCAGTTTATATAGTACTGAAACTTACTTTTGTTGAATTCTTAAAGAACAAGTAGTATCCTATCATTAAGGAAGGTGCAGGAAGGTGCTTTGACAATACAACTCTGAAGGCAGGAGATTTTGCCTGGGTAACCACTAAACTTCTATGGATTAAGGTTCAGAATATTCTCATTCACTTAGTAAAGGGAGGAGGAGAGAGAGGGGACCAGGAAAGGTCCAGGCAAGATCTTGCTCCAGAATAATCTGAAAGTGACTTCATCTTCATCAACAGGGCTTGGGGCTTCTCAGGCAAACTTGAAGCTATTTTGGCACTTCTAGTTCTCAAATGAATTTCTTCCTAATAAAACAGAAAGGGCTGCCCAGGACCAGCAGAAGGTCCACTCCTAACCAGACCATGGCCCAGATAACAAAGAGTCTTGGCCTCAAAACTGGCCCAGGGACTATGAAACCCTTTACTTCTACTGTCAGAATTAAGTCCTTATAAAGGGGGAAAGAAAAAAGATGGTTTTCTGACCCTAAAACACAATTATTTACAGCAGGAGTGAACCTTTAGGAAATGTTCCTGGCCCTGCACTTTTATCATCTGCTCTGAGCCCTCCCAGCCCAGGCCCTTCTCATGAAGTCCTGGCTGACTTAGGCAGAGAGTAAAGACGGACAGGACCTGCTCTGGCCAGTTCCTGCCATCGCAGGCAACTGTTTCCTGAGGATCTTCAGCAGAAATGCCCTCCCCCACCCCCAATGATAAAATGCTCAAATACTTTGGGGAAAGAATATTCTACCCTAGATTCCCCCCCCCCCCAAAAAAAAAAAACACCCTCCCGAGTCAGTGGGCCTTTCAGATCATCTAGTAGTTTCAGTGGAGTAGTTTTTTTTTGACATGTGATGGCACCAGTGAAGGGGCCAGCAGCAGAGATGGCAATAGATGGCAAAAGGACCATTGCTAAAATACGCAGCAGAGTCCAGGGATGCGGAGAATGTGCCACCCAATGCTAGGGACCTGAGGGACACAACCAAGTGAGAATATTCTCCCATCTGTGGCTTCACAGCCACTTCCATGGTTTCTGCCTCCAAAGTGGACCTCTCAGGAAGAGGCAAGGATGCTGCCTACATAAGCCCCTTCAAGGATTCTTACGATTGTCACCCCCAACTCAAGCCCCCGCAGTCCTGCTACCAGCATAGTAACTCCAGCCAGGAAGGCTTTACCTCCATGATGGGACTGGACGCCAGGACCTTCTCCTCGATGTTGGTTTCACTGGCTGAGCCACCGACCGTGGCAAAGTAGCGCATGGCATACTTGGCTGACACCGTCTTCCCAGCTCCCGACTCCCCACTGACTATGATGGATTGGTTCTTCTCATCTCTGGAAGGGAAGCAGCTCTGGTCAGTCATTGGCCAAGGAAAAGCTCTGCTGCCTTTCAGGGACTCTGTCTGACAAAGGGCTGAACCTGCGGCATCTCTCCCACTTTCAGGATGAATGTGAAATGACAGTGTAAAAATAACCTGCCCTCCATCAACAGGCCTGTGCAGGATCTGAAAGCGGGAAGAAGCCAGCCATTCTGAACAGGGTTTACAAGTGCACATGACTGCCTTTACCACCCACAAGAAGGCAGAGGCGGCCAGCCAGTCACTCTCCAGGATCCTGGGCACAGCACCCCTCCCTCCCTCTTACATACATCCCAAGGATTTACAGATACACTTTCATCTTTATTTCTCCAACATGCCCACCCTGTGCCACTGTGCAAGTTCTAGTGTCTGAGAATAAGGATGTTTCTTCTCTTGCATTGAGCCTAGCATGCTGACAGGCATGGATTTGAACATTTCAGCTCCTACAGCTGTATCACAAAGTACATGCTAGTAGCCACCAGCCTCATCTTGCCTCACGTTTCCCAGAAATTAGATAGAAGAGCTATCAATTGCAGTATGAGGGAATTTAGGGCAGACTAAATGGAACACAGAAAGAAGATACCCTATGTAGGATAAAAAAAAAAAAATGCATCTACCTTTATCCCCTTAAAACAGTAGGAAGACAGACAAGTTATGGACATTAGTCTATCAGGTCTCTAAGGAACATGATTTTAAAAGCAGACAGCAAGAACACTGGTGCCACCGATTTGGGAAAATTAGTTGCTGTAAGGGCTGGACTCAACCACTCCTCCAGTTCCCAAACCCACCACAAGGGCAAGCACTCCAACGCCCAGCACTAGCAACAGTGCCCAGCACAAGGCTCATCCTCAATGTGAACCGCCGGGCTGCAAGCCACTTAGGGCTTCGCTGATTGTAAACCTCTTTTCTAAATGAAAATGGGTTTAGAACTCAGGATTCCTGGTGCCAGCTCCTGTGGCTTCCTAGGCAGAGTGGGCCAAAGAAGAACCCAGTAGTCACCACAGGTGGCCTAGCACCTTCTTGCTATCAACATAGGGAGGCTGTAGCTTACCAACACGTGTGAATGAACACTGGCATCTCTCCTGAACTAGGCCAACAGCCAAGAAATCAGAAAAGTGATGTGATGACAGAAAGGAATCTAATTTGAGATAGACTAGATGGACAGAAGAGAACCCACATGGAATGTACAACTTAAAAAGAAATGTGGGAACACCAGGGGAGTAATTGTGAGGGCCAGGCTGAAGAGACCTCATCTGTGAGCCACTCTTCAAGGACATCAAGGTGCTATACAGTCTCAGCTCACACAAGTTGTGAGCAATGGGGGGGACCCGAGTGCTCTCAGTGGCCAACAGACACTCAAGATGAAGCAGAAAAAATGCATCTTTCAAACTGACTATCCAACCTATGATTTGGCAACTTATACAGACTCCTATCAAGTCATGGGAGATGGAATTACGGTGGCTTTTGGAGATCCCCTCGTAGTTCTAGTACACTACTGTTGTCCTCAGAGCATCTGTCTCTGTGTCCTGTGATATCTTTACACTGAAAGGTGTAATATCATTGCAAAAGCTCCCTGTATGTTGGCATCAAGGAGAACTAGACTGTAGCAGCCAGCCTCTGTGTGTGTGTGACTTAAAGTAAGTGGATGAGTGTAGGATTCGACTTGGTGTTAGTCCTCAGCAAAGAACCACACAGAATGGAGAGGGACATACTATCCAGAGTCCTCAACAAGAACCAACATGTGGATGACAGGGGAGGAAGCCCATCAGCAGGCAGGGAGATGGGAAGTCCATGGCAAACTGGACTGCAAGGGGACCCAGAAAACTAATGCACTTGATAGAGAAGGTAAGAACCAGTGACCCTTGTCTACTTCACTTACAGCCCTGCACTGCTCAGGAAAGAGAATGGCTCAAACAAGAGGTAGGAAAGTTTTAGGAACAGGCACGCCATTTAAGGCTAAGTAGCCAGTTTATGAGACAAGTGTGGAGAGGTTAGAAGAAAGAATCAAAAGCAGCAATCTGACAAGAATAGCAGGATGAGCAGGTTCATGGTAGAGACAGTATCAGGAATTATAAATGCCCCCAATGTGGTATACTACATTTGAGGCTCTTTGGAGGAACAAGTATAGGAAATGACCATGAGTGCTAGCTCCTAATTGGATGGATATTAGAGTGGATACTAACATGAAGGCTAGAGTCAGATAAATTCACCTCTTACACCAGTGAGTGCCTTTCAAAATTTCCCTAATTGAGACTGATGTAAAATGTTTGGGGAAATTGATGTCTTATTTAACTCTATGCACCTGTGCACACAGGACCCACATCCCTAGCTTATTTCAGGGCCAGGTGCACATTTGGTACGCGTACACTATTGCATCGCAGTGCCTAAGGGACAACACTGAACAGCACTCTCAACCTCATTCAACACATTATCTTTCCTTCCAACTCATTATTAGACAACTAGAATCCACAATACAGGCATTAATGACAGACTTGAATTTCAATTTCAGTTGCACTGTGATTAGCCATCTGACTTTGGAAAAAGTAGTAATTTATTTGACCTCCAGATAATCTCAGTGCAATCTCTTGGGATTTGAATCCCCAAAGCCCAAGCTCTTGATTTGGTACGGGGATCTCCAATTCATCCTAATACTTCTGCCAGATTAGATTTCTAAAGCACAGCTCTAATTAAATTTTCTCCTTTCAAGAAAGCTAAACAGCAATTCATTGCTTATCAAATCAAGTCCAAACTCCTTAGCTGAGCATTTGAATCCTTCTACAATGCACAACACTGAAGCCCTTAACAGATATGGGGCAAAGTGAGAGAATACTGGATATGCCCCAAGTCCTTATTCTGCCATCAACAGACTCTGTAAGCCACTTAACTGCATTTTAAAGCAAACTTCACGTCTCATACATCTATCTGCACAAGACTGTATAGGAAGATCTCTACACCTCCTCTAAGATGGTTTATGGTTCAGCCACACAGGGCTACACAAGTCCCTGAAGATGGCACACATTCCCAGCACTGCTGTTTATGGTGTCCCGAGGCCACCTTCAACACACCCCCTTCCACTGATGTTCTACCTACGTCCAATGTCAGGAAGTCAGTCTTAACTCCCTGCCTTGGCATCCCAGAAGGCAATTATTTCTCCATCTCCTAGAGTCTCACATCACTTGTTCTGTGCCACTTTTAAGACACTGACATTTCATCCCACACTGTTGGTCTCCATGGTGGCTTTACCCGTGATATGACTGTCAGTCACTTCCTTTTTCTGGTCCTTTGTCTTTTCATTTCTAAAGCACGGGGTCATGGCTTCGAATTTCAGTCAAAGGTCTCTTGGAGACCAACAGAAAACAAAGGTAGTGAAAATCTCCGTCCCAAATTTCAAGTATCCAGGACTGGTAGTAGGGAACGTTGGTAAAAGTATGGACTCCTACCCCATGTCCTTCCAAAGTGTGGCTCCCTCCATTGAGTCCAATTACAGAGATGACAGTTGGCTACCTGGGCCAATATGCTTTTCAGTAAATCCTCCTTTCTTGAGCCCAGGGATATTCCCTTTCTGTAATAAAGCAAATCACAGTCAAGGAATTTAGTGCCCTGTTATTGCTCACATTCTGGCCATCTTCAGGAAACACCCCAACATAAATACACCCTTGAAAGCCTGTACTTGAGACAAGAGCCCAGGACTCCAAAGGGGCTCAGCCATTCCTCAGGTTCCAGGTAAAACGGCGAGTGTGCACATGCACGCATGCACATATACACACCACTCTCCCCCAGCTCACATCATAACCTCTCAGTATCTGAGAGTTGAGATTTAATGGCTTCTAAGCCACTTTCCTACAAAAGTTTCCCATCAACCCACTATAGCATTTCAAGTTCATGAGCAGGACGAACCTCCCCTCATCACTTCTATTGGGACGCCCAGGCAACGAGAGTGGTGCAGGTGGCTGTAAAGGCAACTGAGTTCTCCCTACCCAATGGAGTGTGTGCTGATCACCAGGGAGCCACTCCGGAGCAGTGTTTCAAGAGCCACTGCTGAAGTGTCACCTTGCTTGGGCGCTCTGCAGATTCATTTGTCACCTGCAGTCTCCAACCAGCAATATGTACAGACACCAAAGGGAAACCTGGCTCAAGTTACCTCAGAACTGGGGAAGCAGCCCTGGTTTTGTCCCAAAGATCTGAGTTCCCAGCACTATCTGGGCAGTGACCGGCAAGGTCAGGTGATCCCTTCTGAAGACTTATGCACCCCCCCCATCCTCCCACCCATGTTCTGACAGCTGCAGTCAGTTCACAAGCTACTCATTAAAGCCAAGGCTCCATGAGGGCAGGGCTCCTGACACCAAAACCTATCTAGCCCCTCCTGGCCCAGGGCCCTCTCCAAGTAATCACCCCCAGTCTCTACTCATCTGCTCCAGCCAGAACCCTGGGGTCAGTGGAGATTCCTTCCTCTGCCTTGAATTCATCTCCAGGATACAATCTGCTCTATTCTCTGCACTTTCAGTCCAAGCCATCATCATCTCTGACACACATTACACTAAAGCTTTCCAGCCTCCCCCAATATCTCATACGACTTTCTGAACATGAATACTGGCTCTATCTCCCCTTGCTTTAAGCCTTTCAATGGGATCCCTGTGAATAAGAGCCATGCTCTACTGTGTTTGAGGCCCAGCACCTCCTGCCAGCTGCACCACCTGCCACTCTTGATTGATTATATCCGAGCCACATGGGCTTCTTTAGTCTCTCCCACTTTGTGGCAGCCTAAAGCTCTTCCAGCTCAAACTGATTTTTCCCTTCTTTGATCTCATGGCTCTTAATGCTTGGTATTCGATCATTCTGCTTTATGGCAGCTCAAGGATAACTCCTTTTTAATATAATTAATTAACCACCTATTTACATCATGCTTAAATGGTTTACAAAAGTCTTAGCCATGTACTCTTGCTTATGGTTCACAAAATCCCTGGGTGTTAGCCTTCT